CTTCCCATATACAGTCCATGGTCCTATAGCTCTTCCCATATACAGTCCATAGTCCCCGTACAGCTCCTCCCATATACAGTCCACAGTCCTACAGCTCATCCCATATACAGTCCATAGTCCTACAGCTCTCCCATATACAGTCCATAGTCCTGCAGCTCTCCCATATACAGTCCATAGTCCTGTAGCTCTCCCATATACAGTCCATAGTCCCGTAGCTCTTCCCATATACAGTCCATAGTCCTACAGCTCTCCCATATACTGTCCATAGTCCGTATCTTCCCATATGACTGTCCATAGTCCCGTAGCTCTTCCCATATACAGTCCATGTCCCGTAGCTCTTCCCATATACAGTCCATAGTCCTACAGCTCGTCCCATATACAGTCCATAGTCCCGTAGCTCTCCCATATACAGTCCATAGTCCGTAGCTCTTCCCATATACAGTCCATAGTCCTGTAGCTCTTCCCATATACAGTCCATAGTCCCGTAGCTCTTCCCATATACAGTCCATGGTCCTACAGCTCTTCCCATATACAGTCCATAGTCCTGTAGCTCTTCCCATATACAGTCCATGTCCTACAGCTCTTCCCATATACAGTCCATGGTCCTACAGCTCATCCCATATACAGTCCATGATCCCGTAGCTCTTCCCATATACAGTCCATAGTCCTACAGCTCTTCCCATATACAGTCCATAGTCCTACAGCTCTTCCCATATACAGTCCATAGTCCTGTAGCTCTTCCCATATACAGTCCATAGTCCTGTAGCTCTTCCCATATACAGTCCATAGTCCTACAGCTCGTCCCATATACAGTCCATAGTCCTACAGCTCGTCCCATATACAGTCCATAGTCCGTAGCTCTTCCCATATACAGTCCATAGTCCTGTAGCTCTTCCCATATACAGTCCATAGTCCTGTAGCTCTTCCCATATACAGTCCATGGTCCTACAGCTCTTCCCATATACAGTCCATGGTCCTACAGCTCGTCCCATATACAGTCCATGATCCCGTAGCTCTTCCCATATACAGTCCATAGTCCTACAGCTCTTCCCATATACAGTCCATAGTCCTACAGCTCTTCCCATATACAGTCCATAGTCCCGTAGCTCTTCCCATATACAGTCCATAGTCCCGTAGCTCTTCCCATATACAGTCCATAGTCCCGTAGCTCTTCCCATATACAGTCCATAGTCCTACAGCTCGTCCCATATACAGTCCATAGCTCTGTAGCTCTTCCCATATACAGTCCATAGTCCTGTAGCTCTTCCCATATACAGTCCATAGTCCTGTAGCTCTTCCCATATACAGTCCATAGTCCTACAGCTCCTCCCATATACAGTCCATGATCCCGTAGCTCTTCCCATATACAGTCCATAGTCCCGTAGCTCTTCCCATATACAGTCCATAGTCCTACAGCTCTTCCCATATACAGTCCATAGTCCTGTAGCTCTTCCCATATACAGTCCATAGTCCTGTAGCTCTTCCCATATACAGTCCATAGTCCTGTAGCTCTTCCCATATACAGTCCATAGTCCTACAGCTCCTCCCATATACAGTCCATGATCCCGTAGCTCTTCCCATATACAGTCCATAGTCCCGTAGCTCTTCCCATATACAGTCCATAGTCCTACAGCTCTTCCCATATACAGTCCATAGTCCTGTAGTTCTTCCCATATACAGTCCATAGTCCTGTAGCTCTTCCCATATACAGTCCATAGTCCTACAGCTCCTCCCATATACAGTCCATGATCCCGTAGCTCTTCCCATATACAGTCCATAGTCCCGTAGCTCTTCCCATATACAGTCCATAGTCCTACAGCTCTTCCCATATACAGTCCATAGTCCCGTAGCTCTTCCCATATACAGTCCATAGTCCCGTAGCTCTTCCCATATACAGTCCATAGTCCTACAGCTCTTCCCATATACAGTCCATAGTCCCATAGCTCTTCCCATATACAGTCCATGTCAGACTATCTGCGGTAATATAAGGGTTGATCTCTCCTGTTTATTGGTGGAGGAGATATTGGACTCTCCAGGAAATGAGATCCCTTCAGATATTGACTTTCCTGTGTATTCAGTGATTGGATTCTCAGTAATTACATGGTTATAGGGGGTGTTGTCAGTGTTCAGGACTCCTTATGTCCTAGTAGCCATCCCAGACCCCCACCTACAAAGAGAGACCTCCAGCTGGATGTCCCTGGGAGGGGCTCCCTCCTTTATAAAGACTCCCCTGTCCTCCCTCTACAATGTGGAGAATAGGGAATACTCTCTGGAGGGTCGCCGGCCCCATATCGCAGATCTGCTGATGCCGAGCGACATTGTTACTGGAATCAGCAAGCTGGCACAAACATGTCCAGGACCGAGACAAAGGCCATCAGGTGACTGGAGGGCACAGCATAGAGATCCCATGGAGTATATGGAGTCCAGCTTAGAGATCACAGGATGGAGTATATGGAGTGTACAGGAGAGATGTCACTGGATGGAGTATATGGAGTGTACAGCATAGAGATCACAGGATGGAGTATATGGAGTATACAGCATAGAGATCACAGGATGGAGTATATGGCGTGTACAGCATAGAGATCACAGGATGGAGTATCCTGGAGTATACAGCATAGAGATCACAGGATGGAGTATATGGCTGTACAGCATAGATACAGGATGGAGTATATGGAGTGTACAGCTTAGAGATCACAGGATGGAGTATATGGAGTGTACAGGAGAGATGTCACTGGATATAGTATATGGAGTGTACAGGAGAGATGTCACTGGAGAGAGATCACAGAATGGAGTATATGGCGTGTACAGCATAGAGATCACAGGATGGAGTATATGGAGTGTACAGCATAGAGATCACAGGATGGAGTATATGGAGTGTACAGCATGGAGATCACAGGATGGAGTATATGGAGTGTACAGAATAGAGATCACAGGATGGAGTATATGGAGTGTACAGGAGAGATGTCACTGGATGGAGTATATGGCGTGTACAGGAGAGATGTCACTGGAGAGAGATCACAGAATGGAGTATATGGCGTGTACAGCATAGAGATCACTGGATGGAGTATATGGAGTGTACAGGAGAGATGTCACTGGATGGAGTATATGGCGTGTACAGGAGAGATGTCACTGGAGAGAGATCACAGAATGGAGTATATGGCGTGTACAGCATAGAGATCACTGGATGGAGTATATGGAGTGTACAGGATAGAGATCACAGGATGGAGTATATGGAGTGTACAGGATAGAGATCACAGGATGGAGTATATGGCGTGTACAGGAGAGATGTCACTGGATATAGTATATGGCGTGTACAGGAGAGATGTCACTGGATATAGTATAGTGATGGAGTGTACAGCAGAGAGATCACAGGATGGAGTATATGGAGTGTACAGCAGAGAGATCACAGGATGGAGTATATGGAGTGTACAGCATAGAGATCCCAGGATATAGTATATGGCGTGTACAGCATAGAGATCCCAGGATATAGTATATGGCGTGTACAGCATAGAGATCCCAGGATATAGTATATGGAGTGTACAGGATAGAGATCACAGGATGGAGTATATGGCGTGTACAGGAGAGATGTCACTGGATATGGAGTATATGGAGTGTACAGCATAGAGATCACAGGAGAGAGATATATGGAGGATACAGCATATGAGATCACAGGATACAGTATAGAGAGTGTACAGCATAGAGATCACAGGATATAGTATATGGCAGTGTACAGCATAGAGATCACAGGAGAGAGGGAGTAGTATATGGAGTGTACAGCATAGAGATCACAGGATGGAGTATATGGAGTGTACAGGAGAGATGTCAGGATATAGTATATGGAGTGTACAGCATAGAGATCACAGGATATAGTATATGGAGTGTACAGGAGAGATGTCACTGGAGAGAGATCACAGGATATAGTATATGGAGTGTACAGCATAGAGATCACAGGAGAGAGATCACAGGATATAGTATATGGCATGTACAGCATAGAGATCACAGGAGAGAGATCACAGGAGAGAGATCACAGGATATAGTATATGGAGTGTACAGCATAGAGATCACAGGATGGAGTATATGGAGTGTACAGGAGAGAGATCACAGGATATAGTATATGGAGTGTACAGCATAGAGATCACAGGAGAGAGATCACAGGAGAGAGATCACAGGATATAGTATGGATGGCGTGTACAGCAGAGAGATCACAGGAGAGAAATCACTGGATGGAGTATATGGCGTGTACAGCAGAGAGATCACAGGATATAGTATATGGCGTGTACAGCATAGAGATCACAGAAGAGAGATCACAGGAGAGAGATCACAGCAGAGAGATCACTGGATGGAGTATATGGCGTGTACAGCAGAGAGATCACAGGATGGAGTATATGGCGTGTACAGCATAGAGATCCCAGGATATAGTATATGGAGTGTACAGCATAGAGATCACAGGAGAGAGATCACAGGAGAGAGATCACAGAAGAGATGTCACTGGATATAGTATATGGAGTGTACAGCAGAGAGATCACAGGAGAGATGTCACTGGATATAGTATATGGAGTGTACAGGAGAGAGATCACAGGATATAGTATATGGAGTGTACAGCAGAGAGATCAGGATAGAGATCACTGGATGGAGTATATGGCGTGTGCAGGAGAGATGTCACTGGATATAGTATATGGCGTGTACAGCAGAGAGATCATGGGATATAGTGTAATATCGGTGTAACGATTGTTCCAGGGATAGTCTCAGATTTGAACATTTATTGGAGGATTTTATGGTTGTGGAAATTGTCTTTATTGTTACATGTAAAACTCTCCAACAAGCTGATCTCCACGTATTGATATGGACAATGATCTTTATTCCTGCATATCATGGGGGTCATCAGTCCGAGGGCGGATGCAGCTTGTGGTGACCACGGAGTCCAATCTCTGATATTTTATCCCAATCTCAGGATCTTCATACATATAGAATACTCCTCCAGCTCCTCATGGGCGGAGCTCTCAGTCCTCCAGGCCGCGGAATGCCGTCTGCATCTCCTCATACAGCTGGGCGTAGTCGGCTTTAATCTTGGCTTCTCCATCCTTTTGGGGATCCTGAGAAGAAAGGTGGAGTGGATGAAATCTCCTGGATCAGTCTTACCTCCCCTCCCCCACCACAAAAACTGGTTCTTTATCAGGACTCAGTATTTTATCTTGCCAATCAGATTGGTCAGGCCGTGCAGAGGACCCACCCAAAAGGCACCCGTAGGTATGAATCTCCTATAATATAGCATAGTGTGGGGACAGCTAGGTGTCACATTTAGTGGTGGGAATATCACTGCGAATGTTCGCTCCGAGGTCTGGACTGCGTTAAATAACTCGCCAAAACATACGTTACATACTGAAAAAAAAAATACTGAGCTCATGCGGTATTTATTGCTCTTTTTTGTGAATTGCATGTTCATGAGTTAAATGCCGCATACAAATTCATGCACTATTGACCTCTCTATCCCAAAACACGACTAAGTGTAGCCTTAGAACATGGAAGATCAGGCCTAGCGCCTAACCCTAGAACATGGAAGATCAGGCCTAGCGCCTAACCCTAGAACATGGAAGATCAGGCCTAGCGCCTAACCCTAGAACATGGAAGATCAGGCCTAGCGCCTAACCCTAGAACATCCATCCTTTCTGTAACCAGGACATGGAAGGTCCCGCCGTATTCTGTACATAATGACCAATGATGGATAAACCAGAGATTATGTTCCTATTAGTGATCCAAGTATAAGTAGGTGAAGTTAGCTAGTCTGCCAATAGGTGGCGCTATTCCAATATAGTGTGTAGTAGCGGAGAACAGTGTAATCAGGTGCTAGGTCCCCGGTACTAGAGCCCTCCACTAATGACGTCATGGGTAAGTCAGTGGGTTACCTAACCCTAACTAGAGCCCTCCTGTAGTGACGTCATGAGTAAGTCAGTGGGTTACCTAACCCTAACTAGAGCCCTCCTGTAATGACGTCATGAGTAAGTCAGTGGGTTACCTAACCCTAACTAGAGCCCTCCTGTAGTGACGTCATGAGTAAGTCAGTGGGTTACCTAGCCCTAACTAGAGCCCTCCTGTAATGACGTCATGGGTAAGTCAGTGCGTTACCTAGCCCTAACTAGAGCCCTCCTGTAGTGACGTCATGAGTAAGTCAGTGGGTTACCTAGCCCTAACTAGAGCCCTCCTGTAGTGACGTCATGAGTAAGTCAGTGGGTTACCTAACCCTAACTAGAGCCCTCCACTAATGACGTCATGAGTAAGTCAGTGCGTTACCTAGCCCTAACTAGAGCCCTCCTGTAGTGACGTCATGAGTAAGTCAGTGGGTTACCTAACCCTAACTAGAGCCCTCCACTAATGACGTCATGGGTAAGTCAGTGGGTTACCTAACCCTAACTAGAGCCCTCCTGTAATGACGTCATGAGTAAGTCAGTGGGTTACCTAACCCTAACTAGAGCCCTCCTGTAATGACGTCATGAGTAAGTCAGTGGGTTACCTAGCCCTAACTAGAGCCCTCCACTAATGACATCATAGGTAAGTCAGTGGGTTACCTAGCCCTAACTAGAGCCCTCCACTAATGACGTCATGAGTAAGTCAGTGGGTTACCTAGCCCTAACTAGAGCCCCTCCTGTAATGACGTCATGAGTAAGTCAGTGGGTTACCTAGCCCTAACTAGAGCCCTCCACTAATGACGTCATGAGTAAGTCAGTGGGTTACCTAGCCCTAACTAGAGCCCTCCTGTAGTGACGTCATGAGTAAGTCAGTGGGTTACCTAACCCTAACTAGAGCCCTCCTGTAATGACGTCATGAGTAAGTCAGTGGGTTACCTAACCCTAACTAGAGCCCTCCACTAATGACGTCATGAGTAAGTCAGTGGGTTACCCTAACCCTAACTAGAGCCCTCCTGTAGTGACGTCATGGGTAAGTCAGTGGGTTACCTAGCCCTAACTAGAGCCCTCCTGTAGTGACGTCATGAGTAAGTCAGTGGGTTACCTAACCCTAACTAGAGCCCTCCTGTAGTGACGTCATGAGTAAGTCAGTGGGTTACCTAACCCTAACTAGAGCCCTCCTGTAGTGACGTCATGAGTAAGTCAGTGGGTTACCTAACCCTAACTAGAGCCCTCCTGTAGTGACGTCATGAGTAAGTCAGTGGGTTACCTAACCCTAACTAGAGCCCTCCTGTAATGACGTCATGAGTAAGTCAGTGGGTTACCTAACCCTAACTAGAGCCCTCCACTAATGACGTCATGAGTAAGTCAGTGGGTTACCTAACCCTAACTAGAGCCCTCCTGTAGTGACGTCATGAGTAAGTCAGTGGGTTACCTAACCCTAACTAGAGCCCTCCTGTAATGACGTCATGAGTAAGTCAGTGGGTTACCTAACCCTAACTAGAGCCCTCCTGTAATGACGTCATGAGTAAGTCAGTGGGTTACCTAGCCCTAACTAGAGCCCTCCTGTAGTGACGTCATGGGTAAGTCAGTGGGTTACCTAGCCCTAACTAGAGCCCTCCTCCTAGTGACGTCATGACGTCATGAGTAAGTCAGTGGGTTACCTAACCCTAACTAGAGCCCTCCTGTAATGACGTCATGAGTAAGTCAGTGGGTTACCTAACCCTAACTAGAGCCCTCCACTAATGACGTCATGAGTAAGTCAGTGGGTTACCTAACCCTAACTAGAGCCCTCCTGTAATGACGTCATGAGTAAGTCAGTGGGTTACCTAGCCCTAACTAGAGCCCTCCTGTAGTGACGTCATGAGTAAGTCAGTGGGTTACTAACCCTAACTAGAGCCCTCCTGTAGTGACGTCATGAGTAAGTCAGTGGGTTACCTAACCCTAACTAGAGCCCTCCTGTAGTGACGTCATGAGTAAGTCAGTGGTTACCTAACCCTAACTAGAGCCCTCCTGTAGTGACGTCATGAGTAAGTCAGTGGGTTACCTAACCCTAACTAGAGCCCTCCACTAATGACATCATGAGAAAGTCAGTGGGTTACCTAACCCTAACTAGAGCCCTCCCGTAGTGACGTCATGGATAAGTCAGTGGGTTACCTAACCCTAACTAGAGCCCTCCCGTAGTGACGTCATGAGTAAGTCAGTGGGTTACCTAACCCTAACTAGAGCCCTCCTGTAATGACGTCATGATAAGTCAGTGGGTTACCTAACCCTAACTAGAGCCCTCCTGTAATGACGTCATGATAAGTCAGTGGGTTACCTAACCCTAACTAGAGCCCTCCCGTAGTGACGTCATGAGTAAGTTAGTGGGTTACCTAACCCTAACTAGAGCCCTCCCGTAATGACGTCATGGATAAGTCAGTGGGTTACCTAACCCTAACTAGAGCCCTCCTGTAGTGACGTCATGAGTAAGTCAGTGGGTTACCTAGCCCTAACTAGAGCCCTCCACTAATGACATCATGAGAAAGTCAGTGGGTTACCTAACCCTAACTAGAGCCCTCCCGTAGTGACGTCATGGATAAGTCAGTGGGTTACCTAACCCTAACTAGAGCCCTCCCGTAGTGACGTCATGAGTAAGTTAGTGGGTTACCTAACCCTAACTAGAGCCCTCCCGTAATGACGTCATGGATAAGTCAGTGGGTTACCTAACCCTAACTAGAGCCCTCCTGTAATGACGTCATGGATAAGTCAGTGGGTTACCTAACCCTAACTAGAGCCCTCCCGTAGTGACGTCATGAGTAAGTTAGTGGGTTACCTAACCCTAACTAGAGCCCTCCCGTAATGACGTCATGGATAAGTCAGTGGGTTACCTAACCCTAACTAGAGCCCTCCTGTAATGACGTCATGGATAAGTCAGTGGGTTACCTAACCCTAACTAGAGCCCTCCCGTAATGACGTCATGGATAAGTCAGTGGGTTACCTAACCCTAACTAGAGCCCTCCCGTAATGACGTCATGAGTAAGTCAGTGGGTTACCTAACCCTAACTAGAGCCCTCCACTAATGACGTCATGAGTAAGTCAGTGGGTTACCTAACCCTAACTAGAGCCCTCCTGTAGTGACGTCATGAGTAAGTCAGTGGGTTACCTAACCCTAACTAGAGCCCTCCTGTAGTGACGTCATGAGTAAGTCAGTGGGTTACCTAACCCTAACTAGAGCCCTCCTGTAATGACGTCATGAGTAAGTCAGTGGGTTACCTAACCCTAACTAGAGCCCTCCACTAATGACGTCATGGTAAGTCAGTGGGTTACCTAACCCTAACTAGAGCCCTCCTGTAATGACGTCATGGGTAAGTCAGTGGGTTACCTAGCCCTAACTAGAGCCCTCCACTAATGACGTCATGGGTAAGTCAGTGGGTTACCTAGCCCTAACTAGAGCCCTCCACTAATGACGTCATGAGTAAGTCAGTGGGTTACCTAACCCTAACTAGAGCCCTCCTGTAGTGACGTCATGAGTAAGTCAGTGGATTACCTAACCCTAACTAGAGCCCTCCTGTAATGACGTCATGGGTAAGTCAGTGGGTTACCTAGCCCTAACTAGAGCCCTCCTGTAATGACGTCATGGGTAAGTCAGTGGGTTACCTAGCCCTAACTAGAGCCCTCCTGTAGTGACGTCATGAGTAAGTCAGTGGGTTACCTAACCCTAACTAGAGCCCTCCTGTAGTGACGTCATGAGTAAGTCAGTGGGTTACCTAACCCTAACTAGAGCCCTCCCGTAGTGACGTCATGAGTAAGTCAGTGGGTTACCTAACCCTAACTAGAGCCCTCCTGTAGTGACGTCATGGATAAGTCAGTGGGTTACCTAACCCTAACTAGAGCCCTCCACTAATGACGTCATGAGAAAGTCAGTGGGTTACCTAACCCTAACTAGAGCCCTCCACTAATGACGTCATGGGTAAGTCAGTGGGTTACCTAACCCTAACTAGAGCCCTCCACTAATGACATCATGAGAAAGTCAGTGGGTTACCTAACCCTAACTAGAGCCCTCCTGTAGTGACGTCATGGAGTAAGTCAGTGGGTTACCTAACCCTAACTAGAGCCCTCCCGTAAATGACGTCATGGATAAGTCAGTGGGTTACCTAACCCTAACTAGAGCCCTCCCGTAGTGACGTCATGGATAAGTCAGTGGGTTACCTAACCCTAACTAGAGCCCTCCCGTAATGACGTCATGGATAAGTCAGTGGGTTACCTAACCCTAACTAGAGCCCTCCCGTAATGACGTCATGGATAAGTCAGTGGGTTACCTAACCCTATGCCAGGTTGGTAGGAACCCAAGGCAGATGGGGCATGGGAGCAGATAGTCCACCAGCAAGCAGATGTAGGGCGTTAGAGTAGAGGCCCTGGGCAGGGCAGAGGACAGGATGAGTTTGTTCTTCACCCAGAAGAGCCAGCTGTAGTCATCCTGTTTCGTATGCTTGGTGGCGGCTAGAGAGGGTTGCAAAAGGCCATACCAGGCCAAGTGTTCCTCTGCTGTGAGTTCTGTCCCCCGCGAGGACCTGAGATTAGTGCACAGGAACTAGATGAGCAGCTGCAGCAGTCCTGTCTCTGGAATGACATGCAGGGAGTTTTGAGCTGGATGCTTAGAGCCTAGTGAGCAGGTCAGAGCCCTCTGAGTGAGTAATAATGACCCTGGGAATGGGTGACACTGTGCAAAGAGGAGATGGCTTAAAGGTGATGTGCTGTGTGCTGCTTTCACATTATGACTGCTATGGATCGCCCACTATATGTGATTGGCAAAGGAATGTCAGGAGACCCAGAAGTATGTCTATGTGATATGACTTGTACTGCCATCTTCTCATAAACATCAGTAAATGCAGAAACTATTCTACTACTGTGGATATTCCTTTATTTATGAATGTAAAGGCTAATGGCCAGGATGTCATGGAAGGCCTCTGGTACTGAGTTACTGTCAAGGTCCTACCTTTTCCCTGAGGTTATGTTACTCCATGTGCTGGCGTCCATCTTGGATTCTGCTGTGCATGGTGGGAATCCTTTTATGCCTTCAGGTTTCTGAGGTCCACCCCCCAGAGGGGTGTGGCTGATGACATATAAGCCTGTGGCCCGCACATGCTCTTTGCACTTGTGTCTTGTGTCTTTGTGTTGCTATTACTCTGTTCTGACTCTCGTGACTCTCCTGGTATCTGATTCGGCTTGTGACTCGACTATTCTTTGTATTCTCCTTTGATCTGACCCTCTGTTGCTGAACCCGGCTCGTGACCTGTGATTCTCGTCTGCTGTCCTGTACTGTTTTGTCCTGCTGTTGTTGTCCCCGGCCTGTCTGACTACTCTTTTGTTTCTTCCACCACCTACACGCCATTGGCGGCGGCCATTACCGCAGCTGAGGTGTCTCGGGGGACGCAACCTGGTTCCTGGCTGCGTCAAGTCCATCCCCACCATCAGGGGCCCTGGTGAAGGGCAGCCTGGGACTTAGACTCCGCGCCCTGAGGGACTTCGGTCTGTGGGTGGTGGTTGTCGTCAGCCAGTGCGTTACATTGTTAGGCCTGCCTGTCTGTTCCTCAGCCCTGCCCTGACAGTTACACAGAGGTAGTGGTAGAGGAGGTAGAGGAGGTAGCGAGGTAGGGGAGGTAGCGGAGGCAGCGGAGGCAGCGGAGGCAGCGGAGGTAGAGGAGGTAGAGGAGGTAGAGGAGGTAGCGGAGGTAGAGGGATACCAGCAAGTGGCTTGTTGTATCAAAGAAGATGGGGGCTTGTACTTTCCTGAGCCTATACAAAGCCAACCACAAGCCCCCTTACACACCCTTATCCTAAATCAAATATTTGGAAGATCTACCCTAATCCTGGTATCTGGGAAGGTCCACCCTAATCCTGGTTTTTGGGAAGATCCACCCTAATCCTGGCACCTGTACAGATCCACCCTAATCCTGGTATCTGGGGAGGTCCACCCTAATCCTGGCACCTGTACAGATCCACCCTAATCCTGGTATCTGGGGAGGTCCACCCTAATCCTGGCACCTGGACAGATCCACCCTAATCCTGGTATCTGGGAAGGTCCACCCTAATCCTGCTATTTGGGAAGATCCACCCTAATCCTGGCATCTGGGAAGATCCACCCTAATCCTGGTATCTGGGAAGGTCCACCCTAATCCTGGCACCTGGACAGATCCACCCTAATCCTGGTATTTGGGAAGATCCACCCTAATCCTGGTATCTGGGAAGGTCCACCCTAATTCTGGCACCTGGACAGATCCACCCTAATCCTGGTATCTGTCTAGATCCACCCTAATCCTGGTATCTGTCTAGATTCACCCTAATCCTGGTATCTGGGAAGATCCACCCTAACCCTGGTATTTGGGAAGATCCACCCTAATCCTGGTATCTGGGAAGATCCACCCTAATCCTGATATCTGGGAAGATCCACCCTAATCCTGATATCTGGGAAGATCCACCCTAATCCTGATATCTGGGAAGATCCACCCTAATCCTGGTATTGGGAAGATCCACCCTAATCCTGGTATTTTGGCAGATACACCCCAACACTGGTATCTGAGGGATCTACTCTAGCCTAGAATCTGGGTAAAAACCAGCCACATGGGACCCCTCGAGTAGTAGTATTTCCTGCTAATAATAGGTGTCTGGACAGTAAGTGGAGAATTCAGTAAAACTTTCCTATTGATTGCAACACAATTAACTTTCTTCCAATAAATATTTTGAATGCAAATCAATAACTGAAGTTGGGATCTCGTTCCACTTCCTCCTGGAATAGTTGTATCTGGTGGATATTCTGCTCAGCATTTACAGTCCAATCAGAATTCAATAGCCAAGAACTGAATAAGAATGACTGAAGTGCGGCAAATAGGAAATAATGAAGTAATTGGAGCCCCATGACTGGATTAGAGGGGTGTACCCCTAGAGGGATCCCCAATTTCTGACCACTATGTCCCCCTCCCCCTCTCTCTGCCTGGTGTAGAACGCTCTCTGCCATGTTCAATGTCCCCATTTCCAGCACAACCCATCAATCACCTTGAATTTCATGGAGCTGAGTTTGTACATGATGTCCCCGAGTTGTTCCCGAATTATCGTCCAGGTTATTTTATTTTCTGACTGAGCCGTGGCTTCCACCGCATGTCGTGCCATGTCATAGAAGGCGATCATGTTCTGCAGCATGCCCACCGTCTTGTAAAAAGGACAGAATCTGTGATAGAATGGAAGAGCTGTGTTTGTGGTGGACCCATTGACCGGGTGATGACGTCCATAGTATAGATCCCCTTCATCTTGGGGGTGTAAAGCCGAGGGGTATCAGACACCAATTCTAATACAATAAAACCCAAAACTGGGCTCCTGTCATATTCATAGTATCCCATAATAACCTGATAAAGTGTTTGCTTTAAAAGGTGACGACGGATTGGTTGCTACAGCAACAACATCACTTTTACTAAAGCTTACATGCAATATTCACTGCGTGTATATAGATGGTCAGTCCCCCACAGCCCCTCCCACAACTACGCCCTTCCTGTATACCACATACAGAGCCCCATTCATGTTGTATTCACTTCTTTCCACTGAACACAGAAAGTATCTTTAGGTAATATTAGATAAAACACTTCCACCCCAATGCAGGCCACAATATCCATTGTTTGACATCAGAGTGCCCCTTTAACCTGAGCTTAAAAAGGTTGCTGATACCTGTCATAGGCAGAGTAGCCATTCTGCTGGAGGAAATCATCCTTTATGAGTTTAGCAACTTCCAAGGTGATCTTATCACCTTCTGCTAGCGAGGCCTACAAGACAAAGACATTACATGACTAGTGCATCCGAATTAGGTTCATCCAGACCCCACTACACCACCGTTACCCTTTACCCTTCCATACCAATCCCCTTTACGTACTATACTTACAGAAAACACAACACCAATTTTGGAGTACAATGGCCAACACGGCCTTTTATTACCAAATCAAGTTTAAACACATCAACCATTCCTTATAACAGAAAACATAAAGAGTTGTCGTTGGTATTTGAAGGCACCCCCAAAACCATCCGAAATGCACCAGCGGACAACCATATTCCACTAGGCCTCCAGCCGCAACCAACCAGCTCGGAGACAACCATACCGTCCGCAGTGCAGCACCACCACCTTCCAGTTAAACCTCGGTTAACTGGGAATGTTCCCGGGCACACCATACCAACGATGGGTCCCACACCATTTTGTACCTCCAAGATAAGAACCGCCTCCAAAGACCAACCACCGCCCAGGAACCAAATTACCCCCCCCCCCCCCCCAGGAGGAATACAACATTCACCAAACAGGGAGGGCGGGAGGCAAGCTCTCTCTCCCACGTCCAGCTCCCAACTGACGCCCCTCCCCAGAACACCCCACCCTAAAGTGCAGGAGACCCCACCTACACTCTCCTCTACCAACCAGATCCCCCAGCTATCCTTTACCAACTCTAAACAATCATTAACCCTCACACGTCTTCCTTCCCACTCTGGGCCTAGTCATGCCTGCCCTTCGCTAATTCTTTTCTTCTTTTATCGCTGCGGGCATTTCTTTTCCAAGATCCCCCATAGACTTCACGTCCCTCAAAAACCTCACATATCTCCTATATATCTCACATGTTCCCCACAGACCTCACATATCCCCCATATACCTCACATGTCCCCAAAGACCTCATAGTATATCCCCATAGAACTCACATGTCCCCCAAATACCTCACATGTCCCCAAAGACCTCATAGTATATCCCCCATAAAACTCACATGTTCCCCCAAATACCTCACATGTCCCCAAAGACCTCATAGTATATCCCCCATAAAACTCACATGTTCCCCCAAATACCTCACATGTCCCCAAAGACCTCATAGTATATCCCCCATGAAACTCACGTGTTCCCCCAAATACCTCACATGTCCCCCACAGACCTCACATATCCCCCATATACCTCACATGTCCTCCACAGACCTCATATATGCTCCATAGGCCTCACATGTCCCCCATAGACCTCACATGACCTCCATAGAGCTCACATGTCCTCCATAGACCTCACATGTCCTCTGCAGACCACACATGTCCTTCACAGACCCCACATATCATCCATATACCTCACATGTCCTCCACAGACCTTACATGCCCCCCAAATACCTCACATGTCCTCCACAGACCTCACATGTCCCCCAAATACCTTGCATGTCCTCTACAGTCCTCACATGTCCCCCAGAGACATCACATGTCCTTCACAGACCTCACATATCCCTCATAGACATCACATGTTCTCCACAGACCTCACATGTCCTCCAAATACCTCACACATCCTCCACAGACCTCACATGTCCCCCGGATACCTCACATGTCCTCCACAGACCACACATATCCCCCATATACCCTGCATGTCATCCACAGACCTCATTAATCCCACATAGACCTCACATGTCCCCCATAGACCTCACATGTCCCCCATAGACCTCACATGACCTACATAGACCTCACATGTCCACCATAGACCTCACATGTCCTCTACAGACCTTACACATCCTTCACAGACCCCACATATTGCCCATATACCTCACATGTCCTCCACAGACCTCACATGTCCCCCTAAATACCTCACAGACCTCACATATCCCCCATAGACCTCACATGTTCTCCACAGACCTCACATGTCCTCCAAATACCTCACACATCCTCCACAGACCTCACATATCCCCCAGATACCTCATATGTCCTCCACAAACCACACATATCCCCCATATATCCTGCATGTCATCTACAGACCTCACATATCCCCCATAGACCACACACATGTTCCTCATATACCTCACATGACCTTCATAGACCTCACAAATACCCTGTATACCTCACATGTACTCCACAGACCTCACATGTCCTCCACAGACCTTATATATCCCCATATACCTTGCATGTCCTCCACAGACCTCACATATCCTCCACAGACCTCACATTTCCCCCATATACCTTGCATGTCCCTCAAAAATACCTTGCATGGCCTCTACAGACCTCACATGTCCCCCACAGACCTCACATATTCCCTACAGACCTCACATGACCTCCATAGACCTCACATGTCTCCCAGTGACCTCACATGACCTCCATAGACCTCACATTTCCTCCACTGACCTCAAATATCCCCATATATCTTGCATGTCCTCCACACAGACCTCACATGTCCCCCAAATACATTACATGTCCTTCACAGACCTCACATATTCCCCATATACCTCACATGTCCTCTGCAGACCTTACATATCCCCCATAGACCTCACATGACCTCCATAGATCTCATATGTCATCCACAAACCTCACATATTCCCTATATACCTCACATGTCCTCACATATACCTTGCATGTCCTCCACAGACCCCACATATCCCCCATATACCTCACATGTCCTCCACAGACCTCACATATGCCCCATAGACCTCACATGACCTCCATAGGTCTCATTTGTCTTCCACAGACCTCACATATCCCTCACATATCAAGCACGTACTCCATAGACATCACATGTCCCCCAAACACCTCACATGTCCTCCACAGACCTCACATACAGTGGGGCAAAAAAGTATTTAGTCAGCCACCAATTGTGCAAGTTCTCCCACTTAAAAAGATGAGAGAGGCCTGTAATTGGCATCATAGGGAGACCTCAACTATGAGAGACAAAATGAGAAAAAAAAAACAGACAATCAAATTGGCTGATTTGGAAAGAATTTATTTGCAAATTATGGTGGAAAATAAGTATTTGGTGAATATCAAAAGTTCATGTCAATACGTTGTTATGTATCCTTTGTTGGCAATGACAGAGGTCAGACGTTTCTTGTAAGTCTTCACAAGGTTGGCACACACTGTTGCTGGTATGTTGGCCCATCCTCCATGCAGATCTCCTCCTCCATGCAGATCTCCTCTAGAGCAGTTATGTTTTGGGGCTGTCGCTGGGCAACACGGACTTTCAACTCCCTCCAAAGGTTTTCTATGGGGTTGAGATCTGGAGACTGGCTAGGCCACTCCAGGACCTTGAAATGCTTCTTATGAAGCCACTCCTTCATTGCCCGGGCGGTATGTTTGGGATCATTGTCATGTTGGAAGACCCAGCCACGTTTCATCTTCAATGCCCTTGCTGATGGAAGGAGGTTTGCACTCAAAAATCTCACGATACATGGCCCCATTCATTCTGTCCTGTACATGGATCAGTCGTCCTGGTCCCTTTGCGGAGAAACAGCCCCAAAGCATGATGTTGCCACCCCCATGCTTCACAGTAGGTATGGTGTTCTTTGGATGCAACTCAGCATTCTCTCTCCTCCAAACACGACGAGTTGTGTTTCTACCAAACAGTTCTATTTTGGTTTCATCTGACCATATGACATTCTCCCAATCCTCTTCTGGATCATCCAAATGCTCTCTAGCAAACTTCAGACGGGCCCTGGACATGTACTGGCTTAAGCAGGGGGACACGTCTGGCACTGCAGGATCTGAGTCCCTGGTGGCGTAGTGTGTTACTGATGGTAGCCTTTGTTACGTTGGTCCCAGCTCTCTGCAGGTCATTCACTAGGTCCCCCCCGTGTGGTCCTGGGATTTTTGCTCACCGTTCTTGTGATCATTTTGACCCCACGGGGGGTGAGATCTTGCGTGGAGCCCCAGATGGAGGGAGATTATCAGTGGTCTTGTATGTCTTCCATTTTCTAATTATTGCTCCCACAGTTGATTTGTTCACACCAAGCTGCTTGCCTATTGCAGATTCAGTCTTCCCAGCCTGGTGCAGGTCTACAATTTTGTTTCTGGTGTCCTTCGATAGCTCTTTGGTCTTCACATAGTGGAGTTTGGAGTGTGACTGTTTGAGGTTGTGGACAGGTGTCTTTTATACTGATAACAAGTTCAAACAGGTGCCATTGATACAGGTAATGAGTGCAGGAAAGAGGAGCCTCTTAAAGAAGAAGGTCCAGGTCTGTGAGAGCCAGAAATCTTGCTTGTTTGTAGGTGACCAAATACTTATTTTCCACCATAATTTGCAAATAAATTCTTTCCAGATCAGCCAATGAGATTGTCTGGATTTGTTTTCTCATTTTGTCTCTCATAGTTGAGGTCTACCTATGATGCCAATTACAGGCCTCTCTCATCTTTGTAAGTGGGAGAACTTGTACAATTGGTGGTGACTAAATACTTTTTTGCCCCACTGTATCCCCCCATATACCTTGCATGTTATCCCCAGACCTCACATATCCCCCATATACCACACAAGTCCTCCACAGATCTCACATATCCCCCTTATACCTTGTATGTTCTCCATAGTCCTCACATATTCCCATAAACCTCACATGTTCTCTATAGACCTCACATGTTGCCCACAGACCTTGCATGTCCTCCACAGTCCTCACATATTCCCCACAAACCTCATATGACCTCCATAGACCTCAAATGTCCCCTATAGATCACATAGAAAATATGTTTTTGTTTGGAGAGGGCAGTACATGCAGAACACATCTAATGTATAATGTTTGCATGGTCTCACCTTTCCCACCAGCTGGACAATCTCTGCTAGGTCTTCCTCCTCCTGAAGGATCTCTTTGGCTTTGGTTCGGAGTGGTACCAGTTCAGCAAAATTCCTCTCGTAAAATTCGTCCAGTGCCCTCATGTACTTACTGTAACTGATGAGCCAATTCACAGATGGATGAAAATGTTTCCTTTGGGCCAATTTCTTGTCTAGACCCCTGAACACCTATCAGGGCACAAAAGAGAGGGATTAAGCTTTACATATCATCCCCGTAACATACAATAATACATTCTACTTCGTACACAGTGCTGGGCACTGCCTGGTAAACTCAAACAAACAATGAGTAGCCAGTATGATAAATGACATGTAACCCAACATAACCCTAACCCTAAACCCTAACTATAACCCTAACTCTAACCCCCAACCCTAACTCTAACCCTAAACCCTAACCCTAATTCTAACCCCCAACCTAACTCTAACCCTAACTATAACCCCTAACCCTAATTCTAACCCTAACTATAACCCCTAACCCTAATTCTAACCCTAACTATAACCCCAAACCCTAACTCTAACCCTAAACCCTAACTATAACCCTAACTCTAACCCCCAACCCTAACTCTAACCCTAAACCCTAATTCTAACCCCCAACCTAACTCTAACCCTAATTCTAACCCCCAACCTAACTCTAACCCTAACTCTAACCCCCAACCCTAACTCTAACCCTAAACTCTAACCCTAATTCTAACCCCCAACCTAACTCTAACCCTAACTATAACCCCCAACCTAACTCTAATCCTAACTCTAACCCTAAACCATAATTCTAACCCCCAACCTAACTCTAACCCTAACTATAACCCCTAACCCTAACTATAACCCCAAACCCTAATTCTAACCCTAACTATAACCCCAAACCCTAATTCTAACCCTAACTATAACCCCAAACCCTAACTATAACCTCTAACCCTAACTGTAACCCCAAACCCTAACCCCTTTCTAACTATAACCCCTAACCCTAATTTTAACCCTAACTATAACCCCAAACCCTAACTCTAACCCCAACTATAACCCCAAACCCTAATTCTAACCCTAACTATAACCCCAACCCTAACTATAACCTCTAACCCTAACTGTAACCCCAAACCCTAACCCCTTTCTAACTATAACCCCAAACCCTAACTCTAACCCTAACTGTAACCCCAAACCCTAATTCTAACCCCAACTATATCCCCCAACCCTACATCTAACTATAACCCCAAACCCTAATTCTAACCCCAACTATATCCCCCAACCCTAATTCTAACCCCAACTATAACCCCCAACCTAACTCTAACCCTAACTATAACCCCAAACCCTAACTCTAACCCTAAACTGTAACCCCAAACCCTAATTCTAAACCCTAACTATATCCCCCAACCCTAATTCTAACCCCAACTATAACCCCAAACCCTACATCTAACCCTAACTATAACCCCAAACCCTAATTCTAACCCTAACTATAACCCCAAACCCTAATTCTAACCCCAACTATATCCCCCAACCCTAATTCTAACCCCAACTATAACCCCCAACCTAACTCTAACCCTAACTATAACCCCAAACCCTAACTCTAACCCTAACTGTAACCCCAAACCCTAATTCTAACCCCAACTATATCCCCCAACCCTAATTCTAACCCCAACTATAACCCCCAACCTAACTCTAACCCTAACTATAACCCCAAACCCTACATCTAACCCTAACTATAACCCCAAACCCTAACTCTAACCCTAACTGTAACCCCAAACCCTAATTCTAACCCCAACTATATCCCCAAACCCTAATTCTAACCCTAACTGTAACCCCAAACCCTAATTCTAACCCTAACTGTAACCCCAAACCCTAATTCTAACCCCAACTATATCCCCCAACCCTACATCTAACCCTAACTATAACCCCAAACCCTACATCTAACCCTAACTATAACCCCAAACCCTAATTCTAACCCTAACTATACCCCCAACCCTAACTCTAACCCTAACTATAACCCCAAACCCTAATTCTAACCCTAACTATAACCCCAAACCCTAATTCTAACCCTAACTATACCCCCAACCCTAACTCTAACCCTAATTCCTAACTCTAAGCCTTAGTTACAACTCTAGCTCTAACCTTGACCCAAGGGGAAATGATGACATAGACTAGGCATGGGCCCCGTATCTCCTTTGTACCAGTACTTCTGTTCAGTGAGTTTGGTTCCTGCTTTGGTGGATGCCATGCTGTAGATGCCTACCTGCACAATACCCAGAGTGGCTGATGTGACTGGATCGGAGAAGTCACCACCAGGTGGGGACACGCTGTGAAGAGAAATTATTACAATTGAGACCTATTAGTAATGCAAACTAGGCAAAGGCCTCAAACTATTAAGGAGTCACTCCACCCCATTCCATATAATGGAACTCTACAAGCTCCAGAGCTGCAGAACCTCCTACCAATAATGGTTGGTCATAGTGTAGTTGGGAAACGTTTTCTTAACTATGATCCCATAATACTGCATACACATTCTTTCTGGGGGCAAAATTGAATGTTATTAGACTATATTCTCTCCAGCTGGAAGGTTATTCATTCATACAGAATAGAGTGAATCAGGAAAATACCACAATATGGACACAAGATGGAGCTGTTGATCATAGGAAACAAATAAATCTTTCCTATATTCATCAGTTCCATCCAGTGGTCATAATGTGTTATTTTCTGGCATCCCTCTATTCCAGATGAATGAATAACATTCGACTTGGAGATACAATATCCTGGTACAAGATTACCTCCATTCACATAGAATGAACATGCATAGCATTTAATAGAACAAATAGTTCTGCGAATGTTCTATAAATCCAGCCCATGCTGCATACAACAAGCATTTTAATATACATGAACTGAGGTAGCAGCATGGTCCCCCAGTCCCGGCATGAGATGGAGGGAATGTCCACTCGGTACAGAAGGTTTGCTCATTTACTGATGGTTAGGATGGCCTGGATTGTAGATCGGCAAATATGGCGGCTGCTACACAGATGTATCCACTCACGCTCCAACAATGCTGACACTGCCTTCTCTTTGAGGACTTCCCAGGCACCTGACTCTTCCCGCCCGCTCATAGAAGGAGGCCAAACGGGCACCGAGGTATGCCGGGTAACCGCTATCTGTAAGACAAATCATTTACACATGAGAAGGCCAAAGGGGTGATCTTCTGCTGCCACTGGACATCCAATACAATGGCTGCCACCCAACTGCTGTCATTATAATGGTGGAGCTCAGCTGTGTGAGCGGCACCTTATCTAATCTCCCCATTGTGGGAGGGGCAGAGACACAAACTTCTGGGGGGAAACCTCCCCATTGTGGGAGGGGCAGAGACACAAACTACTGCAGGACCTCTCCCCATTGTGGGAGGGGCAGAGACACCAACTACTGCATGAAATCTCTCCATTGTGGGAGGGGCAGAGACACCAACTACTGCATGAAATCTCCCAATTGTGGGAGGGGCAGAGCCACAAACTTCTGAGGGTAATCTCCCCATTGTGGGAGGGGCAAAGCCACAAACTTCTGGGGGGAAATCTCCCCATTGTGGGGAGGGGCAGAGACACAAACTTCTGGGGGGAAATCTCCCCATTGTGGGAGGGGCAGAGACACAAACTGCTGGGGGGGAATCTCCCCATTGTGGGAGGAGCAGAGACACAAACTACTGCATGAAATCTCTCCATTGTGGGAGGGGCAGAGCCACAAACTTCTGGGGGGAAATCTCCCCATTGTGGGAGGGGCAAAGCCACAAACTTCTGGGGGGAAATCTCCCCATTGTGGGAGGGGCAGAGACAAACTGCTGGGGGGGATTTCCCCATTGTGGGAGGGGCAGAAACACAAACTGGGGGGGAATCTCCCCAATTGTGGGAGGAGCATAGACACAAACTACTGCATGAAATCTCTCCATTGTGGGAGGGGCAGAGCCACAAACTGCTGGGGGGAATCTCCCCATTGTGGGAGGGGCAGAAACACAAACTGGGGGAGGGATCTCCCCATTGTGGGAGGGGCAGAGACACAAACTGGAGGGAATCTTCCCATTGTGGGAGGGGCAGAGACACAAATTGCTGGGGGGGGGGAATCTCCCCATTGTGGGAGGGGCATAGACACAAACTGCTGGGGGGGAATCTCCCCATTGTGGGAGGGGCAGAGACACAAACTACTGCAGGAAATCTCCCCATTGTGGGAGGGGCAGAGACACAAACTGGGGGGGAATCTTCCCATTGTGGGCGGGGCAGAGAAACAAATTGCTGGGGGGGGGGAAATCTTCCCATTGTGGGAGGGGCAGAGACACAAACTGCTGGGAGGAATCTCCCCATTGTGGGAGGGGCAGAAACACAAACGGGGGGATCTCCCCATTGTGGGAGGGGCACAGACACAAACTACTGCATGAAATCTCTCCATTGTGGGAGGGGTGGAAACTATGGTGGTCATTTTGCCCATTTTCCTTCACTATCAGAGAGCTAGAAAACTGATTGCATGGAATTAGATGAATGATTCTTACCAGCTGGCATTTCTGCCAAACGACCAGAGATTTCTCTCAGCGCCTCGGCCCATCGTGAAGTGGAATCTGCCATCATACTGACGTTGTAACCCATATCTCGGAAATATTCAGACAAGGTGATTCCTTTTTGAGAATATTCACTTTTAGGGTTAGGATTCAGGCTGAGATGAGAATGGGGGGGGGGGGGTCATCATGTATTATCTTCAGTCCATCTCAGATTTTGAAAACTCTTTCTGGCTCATGACAAGACTTAGTTTATGTTCAGTAGGATACGGCAGACACTGAAAATTGTTTGGTTTGAGCCAAAAGCAGACTCACTCATGTTTGAGGATGATAAATGGTTTATCTGTAGGTGATTGGAGGGGCTGGAAGCATCAATACAGTGACTACTATAGCACACATTTATCTAACTAGACACAAAGCAGACCAATGGAATGTCCATTTACTAAAGACTTCCTTTAATATTCCACATACTTACATATATATTAGACATGGGCTCACCTGTGTAGATTGAGGCCTCTCTGGCTGCTACTGGCATGTTGGATGTGTTTGCCACCAGAGTTGTCCTTTTCATGATTGTCTCAGTTTTCCCATCAACCTCCATGGTAAGCTGAAAAAAATTGAATTTTTGGGATGAGTCCACCATATCGGTTAAGGAGATTTGATTAGTTGCCGGAGAAATGTCTTACCTCTGGGAAGTCTCTCAGCACCTCAGACATCTCGTTACCTCTCTCTCCACAGCCCACATAAACAATGATATCACTATTGGAGTACTTGGATAAAGCTTGAGAGATCACAGTCTTCCCACAGCCGAAGGCACCAGGGATTGCTGTGGTTCCACCTTGGACACATCTAAGAAAGAAAACATGTATATCTGTTGGGTGATGGGACAAAGAACATCAAAATCAATCTGGAAGGTTAAACTGCTTAGGGTTAGGGCTAGATGGAAGATAGAGTTATACAAAGGCTGGTCCACCACCTGTATGGAGCTTTCACACTCTCAGGTTGTCCATAGATGGTGGGAAATATACCAAACCTCCAATATCTGTCACAATTCTGCCAACAAAGGGAGTCTTTAGACAGCTGATCTGTCTGGACATTGAACCAGTCTTATTTGTTTGTCTTACGTTGCCTCTATGCTGTCAGAATCAGATCCAGACCTTCCCTTGCAAATGACAAATGGAGAACAAGTCTACATCTGATTGGAGGCTTTAGGGGTTTGTGATGGCTAATCAGAAATAAGTCTTAGAAAGCTTTGAAATCCAGTAGAGGACATTACGGGAAAAGGGCATCCACGACTCTCTGTCCAGTTAGCAGTGGGTAGTTGGCTGGAAGCTTCTCAGCAGTTGGTCGAATCTGCCGCACTGGCCACACCTGTACCATGGTCAGCTTTTCTTTGATGCCTTCGAAGTCCAATTCTAGAACGACATCCTAGAGAAGGCAAAATGATACTCTAAACATAAATAACTCAAAGAAACTTCCTGACTCAGAATATGGATGAAATTGTCCTCTGACCTCCAATGTAGAGGATGCCTATGTGCAAGGACTTGGCTTAGGGAAATCATAGATGCTAACCCTAAACTAGAGGTAGAGGACATTATAAAGTATAAACACTTTCCACAGTAACTCACTGAAATGTCATAGTTCCCAGGGGGGGCGACGTAGGTAACAGTTCCACAGCTTCGAGGGGGCACCATGATTTTGTGATTGATGAGAGAATTCTCTGTGACACTCCCGTAGATATCCCCTCCAGTCAAATGACTACCAGGCTGGAGAAGAAGAATCATTTATAGGTCATATTCACTCTCACTGAGCCCACCTATCCATTCTTCAAACATTTACAGATATAAGATTGATCATCACCCTGTCTAGATGAGTTCCAGGTGTATGGGTACCAACAGACAGCCCTGGCCAACAATCTATGGAGAACCATCACCTGGACAAGCTGGATTTCTGTCCCCCCAATGCTACAGTATAATATAAATGTAAAATGCACATATTAACCTGTAACCTAAAAAAGTGCAACCATGCAGAGTAAGAATGGATGGTGGGCCTTCTACTCACTTTACTCATGATAGACTACCAACCCACCCACTCCAGGCTGCCATGTAAAACAACATACCTACCCTAAGCAAGCACTTATCCCCACCCACCACCTCCTGGCAGACACTTATCTCAACATACCCAACATTACACCCATTCCTGACACACACTTACCCCCCACTTCACCAGCCACTGGCACTTACCTCCTATTATACCAACAACTGAAAAAAATTCCCCCCCCCCTTACATCCACTCTGGACAGAAGCTCTTCCCTCCCCAATCCTTACATCCACTCCTGACAGAAACTCTCCCCTCCCCACCCCTTACATCCACTATACCCCTCATATAACACCCACTCTTGACAGTAACTTATCCTATCCTACCCACTGTTGGTAGATATGTAAGCCCCACCCACTCTTGGGTGATCCTCATCCCAGCCCACCCACTCTTTGCACTTACCCTGATGTTTTTGTCTGGAATAAATTCCCACTTAATATCTCTGGACAGAGCGTTGATATTAATACCACGAGGGATGTAAATACTTTTTGTCAGGTCTGAAATATCCTTCAAAGGACGTTGGATCCCATCAAAGATGTTTCCCATAATGCCAGGGCCCAACTCTACCGAGAGAGGTTTCCCGGTCCGCAGCACCGGATCTCCCACCGACACACCAGCTGGGTGCATTCCACTAAGGAAAAGAGAAACATCTGCACAATTCCCACTTCTGTAGACGGATCAAGCTGTCCATCATCTGTGATTCTTCTGGCCTACAATGTGGCAGTGCTGGACCCCGACCTCATTGACGCAAGGCTTCTGTCTTCGGCTCTGTAGAATACTGTGGCAGATACTAAGTGGTGCTATGAGGCCCTCTAGGATATTGTGCTTTGATATTTATTACTATGTGATGTAGACGTTGAGTACACAGTGAGGTGCAAAGTGTCTTCAACTGCTTGAGTAACCTCAGATGCCAATCACAGAAATATTACAATACATTATTTAGTTCATTTCTTTCATCAATCTCATTATCTTCTGTTTCTCACATCAGGGTGATATTCTGTATGTGCGGAGGAACACCCCTAAAGGGTCACACTGCGGTGAGATATGTGCGAGATATGAGGAACATCCCTAGATGGTCACACTTGGGGTGAGATATGTGCGGAGGAACATCCCTAGATGGTCACATTGGGGTGAGATATGTGCGGAGGAACACCCCTAAAGGGTCACATTGGGGTGAGATATGTGCGGAGGAACACCCCTAAAGGGTCACACTGCGGTGAGATATGTGCGGAGGAACACCCCTAGATGGTCACATTGGGGTGAGATATGTGCGGAGGAACACCCCTAAAGGGTCACACTGCGGTGAGATATGTGCGGAGGAACATCCCTAGATGGTCACACTGGGGTGAGATATGTGCGGAGGAACACCCCTAAAGGGTCACATTGGGGTGAGACATAGTATGTGCGGAGGAACACCCCTAAAGGGTCTTGCTGGGGTGAGATATGTGCGGAAACACCCCTAACACCCCTAGATGGTCACATAAAGGGTCACACTGGGTGAGATATGTGCGGAGGAACACCCCTAAAGGGTCACACTGGGGGTGAGATATGTGCGGAGGAAAGGAACACCCCTAGATGGTCACATTGGGGTGAGATATGTGCGGAGGAACACCCCTAAAGGGTCACACTGGGGTGAGATATGTGCGGAGGAACACCCCTAAAGGGTCTTGCTGGGGTGAGATATGTGCGGAGGAACACCCCTAAAGGGTCACACTGGGGTGAGATATGTGCGGAGGACACCCCCTTAAGGGGTCACACCCTCACACTGGGGTGAGATATGTGCAGAGAGACACCCCTAGGTGGTCACATTGGGGTGAGATATGTGCAGAGACACCCCTAAAGGGTCAACATTGGGGTGAGATACAGATTCATGTACAGAGAGACCTTTAGTGGTCACATTGGGGTGAGACATGTACAGAGAGACACCCCTTAGGTGGTCACATTGGGGTGAGACATGTACAGAGAGACACCCCTAGGTGGTCACATTGGGGTGAGACATGTACAGAGAGACACCCTTAGGTGGTCACATTGGGGTGAGACATGTACAGAGAGACACCCCTAGGTGGTCACATTGGGGTGAGACATGTACAGAGAGACACATTTAGATGGTCACATTGGGGTGAGACATGTACAGAGAGACACCCCTAGATGGTCACATTGGGGTGAGATGTACAGAGAGACACCCCTATGACATATTGGGGTGATGTACAGAGAGACACCCCTTAGTGGTCACATTGGGGTGAGATATGTACAGAGAGACACATTTAGATGGTCACATTGGGGTGAGACATGTACAGAGAGAGACACATTAGATGGTCACATTGGGTGAGATATGTACAGAGAGACACCCCTTAGATGGTCACATTGGGGTGGGATATGTACAGAGAGACACCCCTATGTGGTCACATTGGGGTGAGATATGTACAGAGAGACACCCTTTAGGTGGTCACATTGGGGTGAGACATGTACAGAGACACATTCAGATGGTCACATTGGGGTGAGACATGTACAGAGAGACACCCTTAGATGGTCACATTGGGGTGGGATATGTACAGAGAGACACCCCTAGGATGGTCACATTGGGGTGAGATATGTACAGAGAGACACCCTTAGGTGGTCACATTGGGGTGGATATGTACAGAGAGACACCCCTTAGATGGTCACATTGGGGTGAGATATGTACAGGAGAGACACCCCTAGGTGGTCACATTGGGGTGAGACATGGGAGAGACACCCCTAGGTGTACATTGGGGTGGGAGTGTACAGAGAGACACCCCTAGATGGTCACATTGGGGTGAGACGTGTACAGAGAGACACCCCTAGGTGGTCACATTGGGGTGAGACATGTACGGAGAGACACATTTAGATGGTCACATTGGGGTGGGATATGTACAGAGAGACACCCCTAGATGGTCACATTGGGGTGAGACGTGTACGGAGAGACACCCCTAGGTGGTCACATTGGGGTGGGACGTGTACGGAGAGACACCCCTAGGTGGTCACATTGGGGTGAGACGTGTACGGAGAGACACCCCTAGGTGGTCACATTGGGGTGAGACATGTACGGAGAGACACCCTAGATGGTCACATTGGGGTGAGACATGTACAGAGACACCCCTAGGTGGTCACATTGGGGTGGGATATGTACGGAGAGACACCCCTAGATGGTCACATTGGGGTGGGATATGTACGGAGAGACACCCCTAGATGGTCACATTGGGGTGAGACATGTACGGAGAGACACCCCTAGGTGGTCACATTGGGGTGAGACATGTACGGAGAGACACCCTAGATGGTCACATTGGGGTGAGACATGTACAGAGAGACACCCCTAGGTGGTCACATTGGGGTGGGATATGTACGGAGAGAGACCCCTAGGTGGTCACATTGGGGTGAGGACACGTACGGAGAGACACCCCTAGATGGTCACATTGGGGTGAGACACGTACAGAGACACCCCTAGATGGTCACAATGGGGTGAGACACGTACGGAGAGACACCCCTAGGTGGTCCCATTGGGGTGAGACACGTACGGAGAGACACCCCTAGGTGGTCCCATTGGGGTGGGACACGTACGGAGAGACACCCTAGGTGGTCCCATTGGGGTGAGGACACGTACGGAGAGACACCCCTAGGTGGTCCCATTGGGGTGAGACACGTACGGAGAGACACCCTTAGGTGGTCCCATAGGGGTGAGATACGTACGGAGAGACACCCTTAGGTGGTCCCATTGGGGTGAGATATGTACGGAGAGACACCCCTAGATGGTCACATTGGGGTGAGATATGTACAGAGACACCCTTAGGTGGTCACATTGGGGTGAGACATGTACAGAGAGACACCCGTAGATGGTCACAATGGGGTGAGATGTGTACAGAGACACCCCTAGGTGGTCACATTGGGGTGAGATACGTACGGAGAGACACCCTTAGGTGGTCCCATTGGGGTGAGATACGTACGGAGAGACACCCCTAGGTGGTCACATTGGGGTGAGATGTGTACAGAGACACCCCTAGGTGGTCCATTGGGGTGAGACATGTACGGAGAGACACCCCTAGATGGTCACATTGGGGTGAGATATGTACAGAGACACCCCTAGATGGTCACATTGGGGTGAGATACGTACGGAGAGACACCCTAGGTGGTCCATTGGGGTGGGATATGTACGGAGAGAGAGACACCCCTAGGTGGTCACATTGGGGTGGGACACGTACGGAGAGACACCCCTAGGTGGTCCCATTGGGGTGAGACACGTACGGAGAGACACCCCTAGGTGGTCCCATTGGGGTGGGATATGTACGAGAGACACCCCTAGGTGGTCCCATTGGGGTGGGACACGTACGGAGAGACACCCCTAGGTGGTCCCATTGGGGTGAGATACGTACGGAGAGACACCCTAGGTGTTCCCATTGGGGTGGGATATGTACGGAGAGACACCCCTAGATGGTCACATTGGGGTGAGATATGTACGGAGAGACACCCCTAGGTGGTCACATTGGGGTGAGCCATGTACAGAGACACCCCTAGGTGGTCCCATTGGGGTGAGATACACGTACGGAGAGACACCCTTAGGTGGTCCATTGGGGTGGATCTGTACGGAGAGACACCCCTAGATGGTCACATTGGGGTGGGATACGTACGGAGAGACACCCCTAGATGGTCACATTGGGGTGAGATCTGTACCCCTGAATATTAGGATTGTGTAAAGGATACAGGTCTCTTCATATACTTGGATGGTGGCTAAGTCTCCCTCCAGCCGAATAATCTCACCCACAAGTTCTGAATGACCGACTCGCACCAACTCATACATGGCGGCTCCGGCCATCTGCGCTGCGGTGACAACTGAAAGGGAAGAAATGTACATAATATCCCCTACAGCCACCCTAAGAATCCACAAATGAGGGCTTCTGGTATAGATCCAGCTTGCTGGACATTTGTGACACAAAACCTTCCGACACTCCAGGCATTCTGCCATAATGGAGTATTTCAGAGCTCTGACATGGAGACATCGGCTCATACGCAGACAATGGGGTATTATACACCACCAACAATCAGATCTGCTGTCTGATAGGCTGTCCTCAGTCACTTCCACACACCCACATCTGTTCAGCCTCACTGATTGGATAATGAATACCTGGTCCAGGGTGACACGCCATGGACAAATCCCAGCATGCTCTCCTCCTCCTCATCGCTGATTTTTGGCAGTTTTGAAAAATCCATCTTTGTACACCCTACAGATACAGAAGAACGTATTACCGTCACAGTCATTGCTATGGAACAGTGGTCTCCAAACTGTGGCCCGAGGGCCGGATGACACCCTTTGTTGCCTTTATGCAGCCCTTGGGACACTATTCCTTTATGTCCTCCCACTGACACCAATGATACGTCATCATTCTTTCCACTGACACCAATGATAAGTCATCATTCTTTCCACTGACACCAACAGTAGGGCATAATCCCACTCATTGTGTCAACAATGGTGTCCTATTCCTCCCACTGACACCAATGATGGGGCACTATTCCTCCCACTGACACCAATGATGGGGCACTATTCCTCCCACTGACACCCCTAATGATGGGGCGCTAGATTCCTCCCACTGACACCAATGATGGGGCGCTATTCCTTCACTGACACCAATGATGGGGCGCTATTCCTCCCACTGACACCAATGGCGGGGCGCTATTCCTCCCACTGACACCAAATGATGGGGCGCTATTCCTCCGGGACACTGACACCAATGATGGGGCGCTATTCCTCCCACCCTGACACCAATGGGGCTTCTGGCTATTCCTCCCACTGACACCAAAAATGGGGCACTATTCCCCCCACTGACACCAATGATGGGAATGGCACTATTCCTCCCACTGACACCAATGATGGGGCACTATTCCTCCCACTGATACCAATGATGGGGCACTATTCCTCCCACTGACACCAAGGATGGGGCACTATTCCTCCCACTGACACCAATGATGGGGCATTATTCCTCCCACCGACACCAATGATGGGGCACTATTCCTCCCACTGACAACAATGATGGGGTACTATCCTCCCACCGACACCAATGATGGGGCATTATTCCTCCCACCGACACCACAATGATGGGGCACTATTCCTCCCACTGACACCAATGATGGGACACTATTCCTCCCACCGACACCATGATGGGGGCACTATTCCTCCCACTGACAACAATGATGGGGTACTATTCCCCCCACTGATACCAATGATGGGGCACTATTCCTCCCACTGACACCAAGGATGGGGCACTATTCCCCCCACTGACACCAATGATGGGACACTATTCCTCCCACTGACACCAATGATGGGACACTATTCCTCCCACTGACACCAATGGTGAGGCACTATTCCTCCCACTGACACCAATGATGGGGCACTATTCCTTCCACTGACACTAATGATGGGGCACTATTCCTCCCACTGACACCAATGGTGAGGCTCTATGACTTCCAGTGACACCAACAATCGGACACTATTCCTCCTCTCACTGACCACCAAGCTTGAGGCATTTTCTACTCTCATTGGCCCACCTAAAGTCTGATGGACAGTAAACTGGCACTTTGGAGACCCTGACACAGAATATTGTCCTCTATAATAAATTGCACAGATACAGAAGAATGTGTTTCCATCGCAGTCATTATTATACGATATTCTCCAGAGATGTCGGCCATATTGCTGTGGGAACCTCCAGCCCGTAATTCATATATCTGAGCCCCCCATACACAGCCAATCAGCATTCTACATCCCATCGTTTATTTCTGTATACAATACTAGAATATACTGTGAGGTTGCCACGGGGGGGGGGGGGGTATGGAGGATTCACCACCCATGGATCCTATATAAAGGGGGGGGGGGATATATGGAGAGCTCATCACCCATGGATCCTGGGGGGGTATATGGAGAGCTCATAACCCATGAATTCTGGGGGGGGGGGTATGTAGAGAGCTCATCACCCATGGATCCTGGGGGGGGGGTATATGGAGAGCTCATCACCCATGGATCCTGGGGGGGGGTCTATGGGGAGCTCATCACCCATTGATCCTGGGGGGGGGGGGTATATGGGGAGCTCATCACCCATGGATTCTCAGGGGGGGGGGTATATGGAGAGTTCATCACCCATGGATCCTGGGGGGGATATATGGAGAGCTCATCACCCATGGATCCTGGGGGGGGGGGATATATGGAGAGCTCATCACCCATGGATCCTGGGGGGGGGGGGGGATATATGGAGAGCTCATAACCCATGAATTCTCGGGGGGGGGGGGGGGGGGGGTATGTAGAGAGCTCATCACCCATGGATCCTGGGGGGGGGGGGGGTATATGGAGAGCTCATCACCCATGGATCCTGGGGGGGGGTCTATGGGGAGCTCATCACCCATTGATCCTGGGGGGGGGGGTATATGGGGAGCTCATCACCCATGGATTCTCGGGGGGGGGGATATATGGAGAGTTCATCACCCATGGATCCTGGGGGGGGGGGGGGTATATGGAGAGCTCATCACCCATGGATCCTGGGGGGGGGGGGGGGTTATATGGAGAGCTCATCACCCATGGATCCTGGGGGGGGGGGATATATGGAGAGCTCATCACCCATGGATCCTGGGGGGGGGGGGGGGGTATATGGGGAGCTCATCACCCATGGATCCTGGGGGGGGGGGTATATGGAGAGCTCATCACCCATGGATCCTGTGGGGGGGGGGGGTATATGGAGAGCTCATCACCCATGGATCCTGTGGGGGGGGGGCTATATATGGAGAGCTCATCACCCATGGATCCTGGGGGGGGGGGGGTATATGGGAGCTCATCACCCATGGATCCTGTGGGGGGGGTATATGAAGAGCTCATCACCCATGGATCCTGTGGGGGGGGGGGTATATGGAGAGCTCATCACCCATGGATCCTGTGGGGGGGGGGGAGTATATGGAGAGCTCATCACCCATGGATCCTGTGGGGGGGGTATATGAAGAGCTCATCACCCATGGATCCTGTGGGGGGGGGGGTATATGGAGAGCTCATCACCCATGGATCCTGTGGGGGGGGGGGGGTATATGGAGAGCTCATCACCCATGGATCCTGTGGGGGGGGGGGTATATGGAGAGCTCATCACCCAATGATCCTGGGGGGGGTATATGGAGAGCTCATCACCCATGGATCCTGGGGGGGGGGGTATATGGAGAGCTCATCACCCATGGATCCTGGGGGGGGGGGTATGTGGAGAGCTCATCACCCATGGATCCTGGGGGGGGGGGTATATGGAGAGCTCATCACCCGTGGATCCTGTGGGGGGGGGGGTATGGGGAGCTCATCACCCCATGGATTCTCGGGGGGGGGGGGGGGGTATGGAGAGCTCATCACCCATGGATCCTGGGGGGGGGGGGGGGGGGTATATGGAGAGCTCATCACCCATGGATCCTGGGGGGGGGGTATGTGGAGAGCTCATCACCCATGGATCCTGGGGGGGGGGGGGGTATATGGAGAGCTCATCACCCATGGATCCTGTGGGGGGGGGGGTATATGGGAGAGCTCATCACCCATGAATTCTCGGGGGGGGGGGGGGGGGGGGGGGGGTATGTGGAGAGCTCATCACCCATGGATCCTGGGGGGGGGGGTATATATGAAGAGCTCATCACCCATTGATCCTGGGGGGGGGGGGGGGGGGGGGGCTATGTAGAGCTCATCACCCATGAATTCTCGGGGGGGGGGGGGGGTATGTGGAGAGCTCATCAACCATGGATCCTGGGGGGGTATATGGGGAGCTCATCACCCATGAATTCTCGGGGGGGGGGGGGGGGGGGGGGTATGTGGAGAGCTCATCACCCATGGATCCTGGGGGGGGGGGGGGGGGTATGTGGAGAGCTCATCACCCATGGATCCTGTGGGGGGGGTATATGGGGAGCTCATCACCCATGGATCCTGGGGGGGGGGGGGGGGGTATGTGGAGAGCTCATCACCCATGGATCCTGTGGGGGGTATATGGGGAGCTCATCACCCATGTATTCTCGGGGGGGGGGGTGTATGGAGAGCTCATCACCCATGGATCCTGTGGGGGGGGGGTGGAGAGCTCATCACCCATGGATAGTTTGGGCCGGTGAAGCACATAATACCCTCTCTGTCCGGTGTGTACTGTTTGTGGTTGGGCTCGGATCCGTATACATAATACACACTCGGATTGCTCTCGTGTCCTCGGTGTGTATGGTGTAAACAGGGAATCTGGATGGGCAGGAATCAGACCTGTTCTGACTGTACAGAGGCAGCTGGAGAGGAACTTTCCGCATAGCTGGCAGCACTGATTGATGAAACCAAACAAATCTGGTTGTAGACGAGTCGATGGATAGATTCTGTACAACCAACCTCCCCATACATGCATCAAAATTCGTCTGATCCCTGCTGAACGAGTGGAATTCGAAAGATGAGTTTGGTGCCCGGCCACTTACCTGCTTGAGGCAACAAACGGGGGAACTGGAACCCCAAACAAGGCGACACAGCAATCAACACATGTAATACAGGAGCAGCATGGGGCCCCGGGGCCCCGAACATGGAATGTCCCAGAGCTCCACCCACAGAGAACGACCCCATCCAGAATGAGAACAGATACCGAGAATTCCACCCGGCATCCGGGACAGGAGGAGTGGGACTGTGCAGAGTCCATACATACAGAATAGGGACAGATACCAAGAATGACACCCGGCATCCGGGACAGGAGAAGTGGGACTGTGCAGAGTCCATACATACAGAATGGGGACAGATACCGAGAATGACACCCGGCATCCGGGACAGGAGAAGTGGGACTGTGCAGAGTCCATACATATAGAATAAGAGGAGATACTGAGAATGACACCCGGCATCCGGGACAGGAGAAGTGGGACTGTGCAGAGTCCATACATACAGAATGGGGACAGATACCGAGAATTCCACCCGGCATCCGGGACGGGAGAAGTGGGACTGTGCAGAGTCCATACATACAGAATGGGGACAGATACCGAGAATGACACCCGGCATCCGGGACAGGAGAAGTGGGACTGTGCAGAGTCCATACATACAGAATGGGGACAGATACCGAGAATGACACCCGACATCCGGGACAGGAGATAAACCATGAAGTGGGGACTGTGCAGAGTCCATACATACAGAATGGGGACAGATACCGAGAATGACACCCGGCATCCGGGACAGGAGGAGTGGGGACTGTGCAGAGTCCATACATATAGAATAAGAGGAGATACTGAGAATGACACCCGGCATCCGGGACAGGAGAAGTGGGACTGTGCATGGTCCATACATACAGAATAGGGGACAGGTACCGAGAATGACACCCGGCATCCGGGACAGGAGAAGTGGGACTGTGCATGGTCCATACATACAGAATAGGGACAGGTACCGAGAATGACACCCGGCATCCAGGACAGGAGAAGTGGGACTGTGCAGAGTCCATACATACAGAATGGGGACAGATACCGAGAATGACACCCGACATCCAGGATGGGAGAAGTGGGACTGTGCAGAGTCCATACATACAGAATGGGGACAGATACCGAGAATGACACCCGGCATCCAGGACAGGAGAAGTGGGACTGTGCAGAGTCCATACATACAGAATAGGGACAGATATCGAGAATGACACCCGGCATCCGGGACAGGAGAAGTGGGACTGTGCAGAGTCCATACATACAGAATGGGGACAGATACCGAGAATGACACCCGGCATCCGGGACAGGAGGAGTGGAACTGTGCAGAGTCCATACATACAGAATGGGGACAGATACCGAGAATGACACCCGGCATCCGGGACAGAAGTGGGACTGTGCATGGTCCAGGACTAGTCATTGAGGGCAGTGATGGAGGTCACTCACCTTGGTGTCTGTATCTGGGGCAGTCTGATTTGCTCTCGGTGTGTCTGTATATATATATATATATGGAGGGGGAGGAGCTATACTGGTTCCAGCTCACATGTGATGAAGGTGAATGGAGGGAACGCTCCTTGTGTACTATAAACACTGAACTGGAATTCTTCCTGCGGAGCTCATAGATAATAAAGAAGGACTCCGCCATGAACTGTGTCAGGCTTTACTGCCACACACTGATAAAGCAGAGAGGGTTGGTGTTCTAAACAGCACATTCGCTGGTTGGGTGATTCACATTCGCTGGTTGGGTGATTCACATTCACTGGTTGGGTGATTCACATTCGCTGGTTGGGTGATTCACATTCACTGGTTGGGTGATTCACATTCACCTGTTACGTTATTCACATTCACCTGTTACGTTATTCACATTCACCACTGTTACGTTATTCACATTCACCTGTTGGGTGATTCACATTTGCCACATTTGGGTGGGACTGTGCCATTGAGGAAGGCTAGTAGAGGGGAGCTCTGTGATTTGCTGAACTCTTCCCATGATGCTCCTTCGTGCCCCATTGGAGGATGTGATGAGAGAGGCTCTGGCCTCATTCTTCCCGCTGCTGGTGATACTTATAACTTACCTCAATGTGCTGGGTGAATGGTGAAGGAGTGAATGGTGAAGGGCTGAATGGTGAAGGAATGGTGAATGGTGAAGGGGAGTGAATGGTGAAGGGGTGAAGGGTGAAGGGGGTGAATGGTGAAGGGGAATGGTGAATGGTGAAGGGGTGAATAGTGAAGAAGTGAATGGTGAAGGGGTGAATGGTGAAGGGGTGAATGGTGAAGGGGTGAATAGTGAATGGTGAAGGTGAAGGGGTGAATGGTGAAGGAGTGAATGGTGAAGGGGTGAATGGTGAAGGGGTGAATGGTGAAGGGGTGAATGGTGAAGGGCTGAATAGTGAAGGGGGGGTGAATGGTGAAGGGGTGAATGGTGAAGGAGTGAATGGTGAAGGGGTGAATGGTGAAGGGGTGAATGGTGAAGGGGTGAATAGGTGAAGGGGTGAATGTGAATGGGTGAATGGTGAAGGTGAATGGTGAATGGTGAAGGGTGAATAGTGAAGGGGTGAATGGTGAATGGTGAATGGTGAGGGGTGAATAGTGAAGGGGTGAATGGTGAAGGGGTGAATGTGAAGGGTGTGAATGGTGAAGGGGTGAATGGTGGCCAGAATCAAATCTAGACAAGCAAGCATGCTGGCCCTCACCTGCATTTTATAGGCCATTGTAGCCCCCACGACTGCTATGGGGCCCGGGATGGGGGTGGGAGGGCCCCTACTAGGAATGCCATTTAAATATATTGTGAAGTTTCTGCTGGTTATGTGTTAGAGAAGACACTGGTAGCTTGTGATGAGGCAGAACTTGGTTTACTTGTGTGGCTTCAGTTGCAAACATACAAAACATTTCAGCAGACATCTTGGTTATAGAGAGAGAGAAGAGAGAGAACCAACAAGTCTTACACATATGCACAACTGGTGACCTTAGTGTAGAGTGCCACCTGCTGGTCAGGTGATATGAACACACATATACTGTACAGTGTACAGGCCACCTGCTGGTTGATATGATACTGTACCAACATCCCCAACACTTTCCTGTAGAGAAGTCTGAGCTCCGGGCCTCCTGTAGTCTTTCGGGATATTAAATCTTAAAATTAATAAGTGACTTCTGTGTATTGAAGCTCGGGCTCAGATCTCCGGAGAGATGGGATTGGATTGTATTTTAGGGCCTTTAAACGCTCGGTCAGCTCATTGCCAATCTGTATGCAATTGCACTGTGTGTGGGCAGATTGTAAAGGTAACAGATTGGCCAGACGGAGATCTGTGTGTGGGGGTGTCCCAGCAGACCGTTCTGCGGATAAACTGTTGGGTGGTGGCAGGCTATCGTTTGGGGTGTGTCTGGTGTGGGGGGAGGGGTGTGTCTGGTGTGGGGGTGTGTGGGGGGGGGGGGGTGTGTCTGGTGTGGGGGTGTGTGGGGGGTGTGAAAGGGTGATAACACCGGGGTTCAAGCTGTAGGGACCCTAGAAGGGTGTGATTGCTAAGCTGCTCCTCAATTCTAATCAGTGCACCAGATTGTATGTAAGATTTTTATCTGCCAGTGTGTGGTCAGCCCTCTGGATTGGAGTGGAGTCTCCCCCCGGTGGTGGGCAGAGGTAGTGCAGCTGTGGAAGGATATCACGGCTGATCTTATATATACGGTTTATATATTCTGAGTTCAGTCCCCTTTATTCCCTCTTACCCCAAGTCACGGCCTCAGTTAGCTAGTCGCTGTGGGCGTGGTCTGGGGGTGAAGTCGTGACAGATATCTGCCGGGACCTGTCCAGAGTTCAGGGCCCCTCCCTCCTCAGGAGTCCATGTCATTGAAAGGAGGAGGCCAGAGGGGGTGCATGTCTGGGACAGGACAGACAGCGGCCCCAGTCCGGGTAATGGTCCTGGTAAATAGAGCCGCGAGGCTGAACGTTATGAGTTTTGTATTGATGGTGGAAACCCCTGCGAGGGAAGCTGATTGCTGTGAACATTTTCTGTTTTGAATAGAAGTGAGCCCCGAAAAGGCAGAACTGGGGTGGAGTGAACCCCCTGGTGACCTTACATTTGAGTTCACACCCCAGGTGGTCACAATGTATTTTCATTGGGAAGTTGTAAGTTTCTCGATTTCTCCGAAATAAAGTTTCCTCTCCAATGTTTTCCCTGCAGCTCTATGGACAGCAGTGCCAAGCTCTGACATCTAGTGGCTATTTGTGGGAACTGCACCTCACTAATTGCCTGCAGAGAAATCGAGGCTTCTGGGGCATTACAACATGAAAAATGTGTCTTTATTCATTTTATTATATGAGAATTACGTTTTGTAATCTAATAAACCAAATACGTCAGTAACAGCAATTATATAATCAAAGAATAAATGGTGAGCAAGACAAAAAAAGGAGAAAACAGCAATTATCTGTAAACATTCTTATGTATATGAAATCAATAAACATTCATAATATTTCTCTGGATTGAGCAGTCAGAACCTTCTCTACTATTTCTGCCTTTTACTAGATTTACAGTTCTAGAAAGATCTAAATTCACCTTCAGCATTCCCCAGTAAGAGGTCTGATTGATTGGTCTGTAGGTCTGATTGATCTGTAGGTCTGATTGATCTGTAGGTCTGATTGATCTGTAGGTCTGATTGATTGATCTGTAGGTCTGATTGATCTGTAGGTCTGATTGATCTGTAGGTCTGATTGATTGATCTGTAGGTCTGATTGATTGATCTGTAGGTCTGATTGATTGGTCTGTAGGTCTGATTGATTGATCTGTAGGTCTGATTGATCTGTAGGTCTGATTGATCTGTAGGTCTGATTGATTGATCTGTAGGTCTGATTGATTGATCTGTAGGTCTGATTGATCTGTAGGTCTGATTGATCTGTAGGTCTGATTGATTGATCTGTAGGTCTGATTGATTGATCTGTAGGTCTGATTGATCCGTAGGTCTGATTGATCTGTAGGTCTGATTGATTGGTCTGTAGGTCTGATTGATTGATCTGTAGGTCTGATTGATCCGTAGGTCTGATTGATTGATCTGTAGGTCTGATTGATCTGTAGGTCTGATTGATCTGTAGGTCTGATTGATCCGTAGGTCTGATTGATCCGTAGGTCTGATTGATCTGTAGGTCTGATTGATTGATCTGTAGGTCTGATTGATTGATCTGTAGGTCTGATTGATTGATCTGTAGGTCTGATTGATCTGTAGGTCTGATTGATCTGTAGGTCTGATTGATTGATCTGTAGGTCTGATTGATCTGTAGGTCTGATTGATCTGTAGGTCTGATTGATTGATCTGTAGGTCTGATTGATTGATCTGTAGGTCTGATTGATCTGTAGGTCTGATTGATCTGTAAGTCTGATTGATCTGTAGGTCTGATTGATTGATCTGTACGTCTGATTGATTGATTTGTAGGTCTGATTGATCTGTAGGTCTGATTGATTGGTCTGTAGGTCTGATTGATTGATCTGTAGGTCTGATTGATCTGTAGGTCTGATTGATCTGTAGGTCTGATTGATTGATCTGTAGGTCTGATTGATTGATCTGTAGGTCTGATTGATCTGTAGGTCTGATTGATTGATCTGTAGGTCTGATTGATCTGTAGGTCTGATTGATCTGTAGGTCTGATTGATCTGTAGGTCTGATTGATTGATCTGTAGGTCTGATTGATTGATCTGTAGGTCTGATTGATCTGTAGGTCTGATTGATTGATCTGTAGGTCTGATTGATCTGTAGGTCTGATTGATCTGTAGGTCTGATTGATCTGTAGGTCTGATTGATTGATCTGTAGGTCTGATTGATTGATCTGTAGGTCTGATTGATCTGTAGGTCTGATTGATCTGTAGATCGATGAATGTGGCAGATGGGATGTAGCGGACGATTTATCGGTGAACCAATCCTCTCCTGTGAGCGGAGGATTTACATGATGTGTGGCCTGATTGATCTGTAGATCGATGAACGTGGCAGATGGGATGTAGCGGACGATTTATCGGTGAACCAATCCTCTCCTGTGAACTGGTTAAAGGCTTTCTTAGAACCTTTCAGATTTCACTTTGGTGCTGCCATATACCGGAAGGCACTCAAACAATATATTTATTAAGGCAGCACCTATGAAGGAGGCGGTTGAGTCCCCTTTGGGTTCTTAGACCCCCCAAGGGACCCTGTAAGGAACCTGAAAGATTCCTTTGTTACATACTGATGATTATCCACATGTCGTCACTGACCATAATGGAGGAGACACACTTACAGCTGGACTCAATTGTCTCTGCATTCAGCATTATGAATGGTCCATTGGAGGGTCACACCACTGTTTGTGATTGGTATTAGGGTGGAGTTGGCCTCTACAAGGAATAATACATACTGAAAAGTCCATAGGAACTGATAGCAGCCCAAAAGATCCGTGGACACAGCCACCCGTGTGGTCACCTTGTCAGGGTTTGGGGCAATGAGCGAGCCGTGTAGGAAAGCTGTGCATAGAAATCCAGCCTCTGATATGACACATGAGAGAATCTGGTGATTTCCAGCCGTGTACGAGGAATGTGGCAGGTAAACGGTTACAGCTAATGATATATAACACACACATGACCTTCTCATACATGACCTTAGGACACACATGACCTTCTCATACATGACCTTAGGACACACATGACCTTCTCAAACATGACCTTAGGACACACATGACCTTCTCATACATGACCTTAGGACACACATGACCTTCTCATACATGACCTTAGGACACACATGACCTTCTCAAACATGACCTTAGGACACACATGACCTTCTCATACATGACCTTAGGACACACATGACCTTCTCATACATGACCTTAGGACACACATGACCTTCTCATATATGACCTTAGGACACACATGACCTTCTCATACATGACCTTAGGACACACATGACCTTCTCATACATGACCTTAGGACACACATGACCTTCTCATACATGACCTTAGGACACACATGACCTTCTCAAACATGACCTTAGGACACACATGACCTTCTCATACATGACCTTAGGACACACATGACCTTCTCATACATGACCTTAGGACACACATGACCTTCTCATACATGACCTTAGGACACACATGACCTTCTCATACATGACCTTAGGACACACATGACCTTCTCATATATCACATTGTAAAGCGCTGTTGGCACTATATAAATCCTGTATAATAATAATAAAATATGATCTTTTGACACACATGACCTTCTCATACATGACTTTCTGACATACATGACCTTCTCATTCTAGCTCTTGTTATACATTACCTCCTCATATGTGATCTGATGACATACATGACCTTCTCATACATGACATACATCGCATTCCCATACATAACATGACCTTCTCATACATGACCTTCTCATACATGACCTTATGACATACATAACAGAGAGGCCATGGTTGGCCGTGTGCAGGTTCTGCCCCATTTATTGTGATACTTTCCCATCATCCTCCTCTGTCTCACCATCAGGCAGATTTGGGTTTTCGATAACAGGTTGATTTTTGCAGCAGTGTTGGAAAACGAGGTCCATTCTTAGCACAGGTAGACTCGTCCTCCGTGACCTGTACATCCTGCAGAAGAGAGAGAGAGCTGGGAATGATTATTTCTTATTATCTGTCAATCATGTGAGAATCCTCAGATGGAAGCTGACATTCCCCCTCCCAGGCTCCACATTCCAGTCTTCCTCAATCCATCTTCCATCTGACTCCGCACACCTCCCCCCAGGCTCTGACACATTTGAGGGTTGCCTTGGTCACCATGCCCAGCCTCCTGCCAGGGGATTAGCCGGTGCTCCACAAACATGCAGATAAGGGCCTCCTCCCCTCCTCCACCCCTCTTCCAGAAAATTCTCAGGTTTATGGAAAGGTGGGAGGGCTCCAGAAGCCCTGACCTGGTAGAACCTCCCAGCCTACCCTGAGGTAACCTCTCTACCTCATTCCCAGGCTGACTCATCCCCAGGTTGCTACTCAGACGCTATCTAACAAAAAGCTACCTAACTAACCTGGAGGGTGTTACACCCGCAATAAATATATATAATACACCTCTCAGTCTACGTCATCTTGGTACATTTCCTTACAAAATAAAAGGCGTACCACCCAGGGACATACCCAACCGGGATGGGGGCTTTTGGAAGGGACTGCAGGCTAGCCTCTTACCTCCTGACCATGGCCCTGGCATCTGAGGGGGCTCTATTCTTTGCTGTGGGCCTGGGGGGGGGACCTTTGGAGTTTTACTTTGGATTCAAGTCCATGTCTGCCCAAAACACACACAGACTCTGAGACCTGGGGGACCCGGAGACAGATTTGGGGTCTCTGTGCCTAAACCAGCAATGACTGCTTATCCATTTCATCTGCAGATTTTAGCCAATGATTCATGGCGGAGACCTGCTGATCAGCCGTGTCCAATCACAGCTCAAAGCCCTGTGTTGACAAGCAACACAGAGCTCTGTACAGAGGGAACAGACAGACAGCACATATTACACCCGTTCAGCTCAGAAAAGACAGTACAATCAGTACCATGTACAGTCCACTATATAGAACTCCCAGCATGCTCACAGTATTCAAAGTCCCACTATGAGGCCGGCTCCCCCAGCAGGTAAATCTCAGCCCATCGGGTCTCTCCAGGCCGCTTGCAGGTCTCCAGAAACCACCAAAAACCAACAACCAACAACCCGCACTCTCTGCTCAGCTGATTAATAAGTGGGGCTGAGGGGGAGGCGCCTGCCATCTACAATTACCCCCCCCCCCCCTGAGCTGACTCTCCACAGTACGAATTTCTTCGTATTGATATCTATTATGTAAAGGACATCTGTTAGGCACTTCTTTATTTTTAAGATGTTATTGGAATGGTGAATGTAAGTGGAGATGCTTTTTTTTAATATAAATACAAATATTTGGGTGAAATTTTAAAAAATGTAATCTATTATTTTGTCATAAATGGACATCCATACATAGCCAGTGATGTCATGTGAGCCATGGGGAAGTCAATGACCATATGATGCTACGCCCATATATGGTTGAGTCTTGCATGGGGTTCCCCCTTTAAATCCATATCAGGCCTGAAGGGTCCAGTATGAATTATGGGGGGGGGGGGGAGGACCTCATGCCATTTTATTTAACTATCCCCAACTCCTTTGTGTACATGGCCATGAAAGTGAATGGGGCCAATGATGTCACTGGTCGTTAATGAGTGGTGCTGCACCCTCTGTGGTCCCTAACAGTCATTGGCCGTGGTAATCTGTTGTATATAATAGTAGCAGTAATATCTCTATTATACATGATATTCAGACCTGCCAAACAGATAAATGGGCATTTGTCCCCCGATCAGCCAAGGTATCATTGCGTTCAGACACAACCACAGGCTCATCCCTACTTGTAAGTCGTTTGTACAACTAGATGCTGCCGTTTGCAGTGCCATTCGCAGAACCGCGCACTTTACCAAACAACTTATTCTCAATTCATCTGTATTTTGCAGAAATCTGTGCAGACACATTGGGGGAGTTCTGGAGTCGCTGATGAGCTGAACGTCTAGAAGACCTCCTGATATACAGTATATAGGCGACTACTTCTGTCCTAATATACAATGACACCCGTCATGGAACAATCAACATGACATGTATTCATTCTTACAATACTAGATGTTGGTTTTAAATCTCTGACTTCGGAGGGTTCAGAAAAGAATACAACAGTACTGGTGCACGAAGCCTTTGGAGATCCTACCTTAAAAGTGATTGCTGTTCTTTTGATGCCAATGATGGGATTCTGATGATGAAGTGGTGAACCGAATCAAAGCACATTCCCAGGAATTTATACAGACCCACACAGATGGACTTTGTGAAAGTGTCTCGAATGCATTCCAAAAGTGATGCATCAAAGTCATGGACCAGCTTAGAACTTGCATTTGAATTTTGCGCATGCCGCGCCACTTTTAGATTGCTTGTGAGACACTTTTGCAAAATCTGCCTTTCTAAGCCAAAAGAAAGTTGGTCCTAATTAGCTCCACTTTTGGAAGATACGAACTGTTGGTATTTTATTTTGATTTTGGTGTAGGTGTTGCGCCAGAATGTAGAAGACGAGCAAATTAGAACACGAGTCGCTGTCAGAATCAAACTGTTGCAGGTGTTGTTTGAATTAGGCGCAACGCATTATCAAGAGCAAAAACACCCAAAAAGCAACGCGGCTTTATTGAATTCCCCCCGTTGTGTATTCACATACCCCAGTAAGGAACTGCCATGATGCAGCAGGAGGTCTGGATCCTCGGTTTCCTTATGAACAATCCCGTGCCCAGAATATGGAAAGCATTTTAGCAGTACAATGTCAGAGGGAGGCCAAACGTTAGATTCATGCGCTGAGCACAACAGTATGTCTTCTACCTGGACATTATCCTAGTACAATGCAGCGGGCTGCCTTAGCACATTGGGCTTTACATAGCACACATCACCCCAACACGGGCACATGGCGGCACCACACATGGTAATGTAGGAGTCACACCAACATCGAGGAGTGATCCTAAATATTCATCTCATTCATTCTAACACATGACTCTGCTTATTGCCCAGACAGGTGCTCACCCAAGAGGCTGCTCCAGAATGACAGGAAGGTGGCGCTGCCAGTCACATGGCACACATCACCCCAACATGGGCAAATGGCGGCACCACACATGGTAATGTAGGAGTCACACCAACACCGAGGAGTGATCCTAAATATTCATCTCATTCATTCCTAGTTATAAACTCTCTAACACATGACTCTGCTTATTGCCCAGACAGGTGCTCACCCAAGAGGCTGCTCCAGAATGACAGGAAGGTGGCGCTGCCAGTCACATGGCACACATCACACTAACACGGGCAAATGGCGGCACCACACATGGTAATGTAGGAGTCACACCAACACCGAGGAGTGATCCTAAATATTCATCTCATTCATTCTAACACATGACTCTGCTTATTGCCCAGACAGGTGCTCACCCAAGAGGCTGCTCCAGAATGACAGGAAGGTGGCGCTGCCAGTCACATGGCACACATCACCCCAACACGGGCAAATGGCGGCACCACACATGGTAATGTAGGAGTCACACCAACATCGAGGATTGATCCTAAATATTCATCTCATTCATTCCTAGTTATAAACTCTCTAACACATGACTCTGCTTATTGCCCAGACAGGTGCTCACCCAAGAGGCTGCTCCAGAATGACAGGAAGGTGGCGCTGCCAGTCACATGGCACACATCACACTAACACGGGCAAATGGCGGCACCACACATGGTAATGTAGGAGTCACACCAACATCGAGGATTGATCCTAAATATTCATCTCATTCATTCTAACACATGACTCTGCTTATTGCCCAGACAGGTGCTCACCCAAGAGGCTGCTCCAGAATGACAGGAAGGTGGCGCTGCCAGTCACATGGCCCACTTCTGCTGGGTTACATCTCTTTGTGGTAACGCTGAAAACTTGACCAGTTTCCTTGTTTCTTGCCCCCGTCACTTCTATGTCCACCAAGTGCCAGTCAGGGATACTGCAATCAATCAGATATATTAATGAGAGTTATCAAATGACTCTGGATGATCCAAATTATTCATAAAACGAAAAATGATGGAAAATGGCGGATGTGAAGGTTAGGAGTATGGAAAAGGAACTCGTCTCAGAATAAATTGAAGGCCCATGGCGTTATGGTGTAGGTGCCATAACATCCACCCAAAGAGATGAATGGAGGATTCCCTTCAGCGGGACATTGTATTCTGACAGTGGAGCGGGGTGGGGCAGGGCGGGGGCAGGGGGGGCAAAGACACAGACAGCTGGGGGGAGATTTCTCTGGATAGAAGACTTATGATAATCAGACAACTTGTGCTAATAATGTGATTATTTCAGTGTAGTTTTTGTGCTATGGTACACAGCAACTGACAACACTCTGGAAATACAACTTCTGGTTGTCACTACAGTCCATACTGAATCCATCCAGCCATGCCACTCACGGCATTATGGGGAACCCCACCCAACACCTTCTTTTATCAACAGAATGAGGAAGAGATAGAAGCTCAGATTTTTTTGGCCATCTCCCCATTGAGAAGGTTTCCTGTCACTTTTTCTCATGATTACTCTCCCAGGAAAGGGGCCCAACAGGGACCTGGCAGAGATCCTAACCCTTCTCATCTCCAGCCAGAATTGAGAATTAAATTGGCCCAAGTTCCGTTTTGTTTTTCTGTTGGATGATCTCCACAGATCTCCTCACCTGGGATCAGCCACCAGTACACCGATTACATGGTCAAATCCTAGCGTGTGGGCAGCCATACATGCAGCAGCCATTGTGTTGACGTTATTGGGGGCCACAGGGCACAAGCCACGCACTGGACCTTCATAAAGAATCGTCCGACCGTCAACAACTCGATTCTTCTCTGCCAGTTCACCCTTCAGCTGAAAACTATCCGGGTGTTTTGTCATGGTGATCCTCAGACCCTATTAGAGAGAAAAAAATAGTTCCCGAAGGAGAATTGTCTGCATTGTATCATCTATGATGTCATCTGTCCCTCTCTGACCTACACCCCACAATTCAATCTGGGGGCAGTTCACACTTATGCTCTCTATTGTGGTGACCAATCAATAAATTCTGTGACCAATCAATAAATTCTGTGACCAATCAATGAGCTCTGTAATCAATGAGCTCTGTAATCAATGAAATCTGTAATTAATCAATAAATTCTGTGACCAATCAATGAGCTCTGTGATCAATGAGCTCTGTAATCAATGAGATCTGTAATTAATGAGCTCTGTAATCAATGAGATCTGTAATTAATCAATAAATTCTGTGACCAATCAATGAGCTCTGTAATCAATGAGCTCTGTAATCAATGAGATCTGTAATTAATCAATAAATTCTGTGACCAATCAATGAGCTCTGTGATCAATCAATGGGTGAAGTTATTAATTCTGTTACAATTCATCAATTTATTCTCTTTTTGGACAGACAAGGGAAACAAGTGGAGCGCACAAAAAGGGAACATGAAAAGATTTAAAGACACAGTAACATGAAAAAATCAAATCACCAAAAAACACAAGAAATAGTTTGATGTGATCTGTGATGGAGAACATGTGAGATCGTGTTCATGATTCATGATACCACACAACAATGAATGCCAATTGTCTTCTTCTAATGTCCGAGTTGCTATCATTGTCAGATGCAGAGACAGAGCTCCCCCCCCCCCCGCCTATCAGCCCCCCAGCCCCCCCCCCCAGGCCCCTCCACTGCTGGTTGCTGATGGTCGTTAGCTCAGTCCTTGGAAGAGGCTGCCCAACGCACTGCAAAGCACCAAAAACCGCACATGTGGGATTACACATCGCCCTGTAGACTCAATGTGCTGCAACACGAGGGCACCAAGAACATGCGCCAAAGTAAATGACACCACGCCACATCTTCCAGCACCACAATGGTGTGAAGGGGCCAAAAAAAACGAAAAAATTTACAAAACACAAAAATGAAAACTGAAAAGACATGAAGAACACAAATCCGTATACAACATTCATACTGCTTTATAAATAAGCCCCTAAATCCACCCTGAACCGCCATCATTCTGCCCTCCACATTGACTCCATTTCACCCGCAGGCAAAAGTTTGCATGTTAATGGACACATTTGGTGGAAACGGGACCTTGCCTTCTTATGGACCTTCAGGAGGTATCAGGATCTCCCAACCTATGGAGGTGGAAGGCACCGAACATTGGAAGTTCACACATTACTCACTTTAAGGGTCCCACGGTCCGCCATTCTTTGGATATCTTCTCCTCCCCATAATGCACCACTCGGAACGTACAATGTGTGTCCAGATGTTGTCGCCGTCTCCCTCAGTCTGTGTTCAATGTTGGGATCTGATAAAACGGTGGGGGATCCAATCTAGACATATACAGGAAGTACATATACCATGGGGAACAGCATTGCAATCTACTGGGGGGAAATCTCCCCATTGTGGGAGGGGCAGAGACACTACTACTGGGGAAATCTCCCCCTTGTGGGAGGGGGGCAGAGACACAACACTACTGGGTAATCTACTCCCCATTGTGAGAGGGGCAAGACACCAACTACTGGGGGAAATCTCACCATTGTGGGAGGGGCAGAGACACAATCTACTGTGGGTTAATCTCCCCATTGTGGGAGGGGCAGAGACACAACTACTGGGGGGAAATCTCCCCATTGTGGGAGGGGCAGAGACACAACTACTGGGGGAAATCTCCCCCTTGTGGGGGGGCAGAGGGGGGAAATCTCCCCCTTGGGGGAGGGGCAGACACACAGAGACACCAACTACTGGGGGAAATCTCACCATTGTGGGAGGGGCAGAGACACACTCTACTGGGGGGTTAATCTCCCCATTGTGGGAGGGGCAGAGACACAACTACTGGGGGAAAATCTCCCCATTGTGGGAGGGGCAGAGACACAACTACTGGGGGGAAATCTCCCCATTGTGGGAGGGGCAGAGACACAACTACTGGTGGGAAATCTCCCCATTGTGGGAGGGGCAGAGACACAACTACTGGGGGTAATCTCTCCCCATTGTGGGAGGGGCAGAGACACAACTACTGGGGGGTAATCTCCCCCCATTGTGGGAGGGGCAGAGACACAACTACTGGGGGGAAATCTCCCCATTGTGGGAGGGACAGAGACACAACTACTGGTGGGTAATCTCCCCATTGTGGGAGGGGCAGAGACACAACTACTGGTGGGTAATCTCCCCATTGTGGGAGGGGCAGAGACACAAAAGTGAAGAATTGCCTCCATTGGAGTGATTGGGGGTGAGTGAGTAAGCTAGACCCGTTCACCTGAAAGAAGCTTTTATGAGGAGGGGACATAGCGGACAATACAAGAAATGTTCTTTACCATGAAATTGGCTGCAGTCACAAAGCGTTCTCCATAATCTCGGGTTATATCTGGGTGAGCCACTTCCACAATCAGATCCGCCTGGCTGTAATCAGAAGTTATTGATCTGTAACAGATTCTACAAAACTTTTTACGAGAAAAAGAAGGAAATCAAATTATTATGAGATTTCTGTGTTTTTAGCTTCATTTTATTTTCTGGTGTGTTTTGGAATGTTCCGGAATGTACACAAAGGATCAATATTACAGGGGACACCCCCTGTGTGACGTCATATGATGACTCCATTGTAATCAATGTCATGTTTATTGATCTATTTATGTATTAAACTTCCTATCTATTATTTATTGATATGAAATCCCCTCAGCTTGTGTTACCGTGTCTGAAATTCGGAAAGTCGGTGAAGTTGTAGCCGAGGGTCGATCACCCCATCCATCTTCTTCATCGTTCTGTTCCAGACGAAGGCCAGCTCCAGACCAGCCTTGTCTCCTTCTTCCAGAATCTTCTGGGCCAGATAATGGCCTGTCAGTGAGAAGAGGACCTGTCACTAGACACTCATCAATGATATCATTGGCCTGAAAGAACAAAACTGAACCATTTGTGATCAAAGAAAATCCCCTGAGAACCGGCACCAATGTGATTTCCTTCAGATTTCCCCTTCCTTTTACTCTCTCAAGGATCGGCTATGACCCCGTGTATTGTTGTACAATCCCATCACTGTATATATATATATATACACTGACCACCCAGAACATTCTGACCACTGACAAATTGATAACATTGGTTATCTGGTGACAATGACATCTGACAATGGTGGATATATTAGGCAGTAAGGGAACATGTTGTCCCTGAAGTTGATGTGATGATAAAATGTTGCTGGCAGTTTGTTGTGTATGGGGCTGTGTGTAGGAGGTGCGTACTGTTGGGGCGTCTTATATAAAGTCTGTGTTGGTGAGTTCTTGTATAATTGGCTGCCCCGGGAGTCAGGAAGGGGTTAAGTCTACTCACTCCCATGTTCATGGCTCTGCCTCCTTGTTGGAGGGCTATAAATATAAGGGGAGGCAATCCTTCCAATGGGAATATAGAGGAAGGAATGCTGCTCCGTGTGCAGCTGTACCGAGGAGGTGGCCTCCTTTCTGTTGGGGTGACAGAAGTCAAATTTGGTCTCTGATGAACGACTCTTCTTATCTAGAGGAATGCATTGAGCAGCCTGAGATGAACTAGAACTGTGCCTGGTCTGAGGTTCCTACAAAGGGGTGCATGGAAGGACTATAAAGAACATGGCTTGTACTAAATGGGGATGGAGAGGAGATGGAAGGGGGTCACCATGAAAGGGTTCATCATGATATGGAGTTGGCCAGAAATGTGGCACCAACGCCGTTACCATGGGTAACCAATGAAGTTGTGAAGAATATTGTAGCAGCCAGCCAGCGGGAAGTAGTGCCTTGGCATTGCAGCACAGGGAACCTATGGAGCTAACCTGGAGGTGCCGGAAGAGAGAAGTGGATCCAACAACATGTTCAGGCTCATTAGGTCCACACGGTGTGAATGGCGGGGTCCTCACATTGTCACTGGGAGTGAGGTGGCAATCATGGCTGTGCTGGTGTATGGAGTCATTATGGGAACCCAATCAATCATTTGGTGATTGTTAAGAAGAAACACGAGAAGAGACTCGCTGTATTATTGGGACTATTTATTATATTTTTGAAGCGTTTGGTTGGTTATTGTTTTGAGGATATGATTGATGGGCGATTGTTATTCGGTTTAGTGTGATTTTGAGCACATTTATATGGGTAGGTGTGGGCAGCCTTCTAGTTAATTCATTATTATTTATATGATTTTTTATTAATTAATTTGTATTTTATTTTTATAATTTTATTGAAGCTGCTCATTGGGTTATAATGTACTATTTGTATTAAGAATTGATGTAAAGTACGGGAAATCAATCTCACCGACGTGGCCAAAGCCAACGATTCCGATCCTCCTCTTGGCCTCCATAGACATGACTTCTCAAGGTTTGATACCTGGAAATAAAGAAATGCTGCTTGTTGGGCAGTTGGCACCTGATGTATAAATCTGACATTTTCTGCTTTTTTGCAGTTATTAGTATTTTCCAATGTCTGTTTTGTATCTGAAATGACCTTTTCATCTCACAGTAAAGAATAACTTACCTGTTATAAAAGGTTACTTACCTTCCGGCGCCCTGTTTATTGGCTCAGCAAGTCTTTAGTGCTGACTAGCCTGATGTGTGGAAGACTTGTGAGGTCATAAGTCGGGGTCAGTTCAGGCAGCAGAGAATCAGTATTGGGGTCAGAGGTCGGGGTCAGTTCAGGCAGCAGAGGATCAGCATTGGGGTCATAGGTTGGGGTCAGTTCAGGCAGCAGAGGATCAGCATTGGGGTCATAGGTTGGGGTCAGTTCAGGCAGCAGAGAATCAGCATTGGGGTCAGAGGTCGGGGTCAGTTCAGGCAGCAGAGAATCAGTATTGGGGTCAGAGGTCGGGGTCAGTTCAGGCAGCAGAGAATCAGTATTGGGGTCATAGGTCGGGGTCAGTTCAGGCAGCAGAGTTCAGTATTGGAGTCACTGTGGAGGTCCATGGTAGTTCATTGTTCTTCCAGTCAGTATATCTGCTTGCCTGGAGCACCCCATGTGGAGAGCCATGGTAGTTCACCCTGATACACCCCGTCACCCCATACATATCTGTACACCCTGTACACCCCATACACCCCATACATTCTGTACACCCTGTACACCCCGTACACCCCATACATTCTGTACACCCTGTACACCCCGTACACCCCATACATTCTGTACACCCTGTACACCCCGTACATCCCATATACCCCATACAGCCCATACCATGGGTGGACTGACAACTCATGGGGCCCCCGGGCAATAGGGGATCATGGGGCCCCTGTGTCCTTGCCCAAACTCAAAAAAGCCTATGAAAAAGGTACCAGGGGCATCTCATGGGGCCCCCTACTGACCCCGGGACCTCGGGCAGTGTCCGAGTTTTCAAATGGTCAGTCTGCCCCAGCCCCATGCATCCCGTACACCCCATACACCCTGTACATCCCGTAAACCCTGTCCATCCTGTCCACCCCGTACACCCTGTACATCTGTACACCCCGTACACCCCGAACACCCTGTACATCCCATACATCTCGTACAGGCAAGTAGATATACTGCCAGGTCTGCAGAAGACCTGCATGACACCAACAATGTGCTGATCGCTGATGCAATGCTTTATAGGCTCCAGAAACAAAACAAAATAAATGCACATTTTTTTACCTGAATAAAAATGTGCATTTATTACTTTTTTAAAAAAGGTGAACTTATCCTTTAATATCCCGAAAGTGGGTGGTGCATAATAAATACTTTCTTGAAGCATGGATGTGGGCTGGACTTTAGGCCTTGGCCAATGAAACTTGGGGAATGTTTCCTGTCTCCGCCCACAGTGCGATTCTGTGCTCTGAAGTGACAAGGGTTAGATGGACCATGAATGGTTCTGATGGCTGGGAGGAGGATTGGATTTCCAACTTCAGAGCGTCAGTCTGATCCAACAATATCAATCACTGCCTGGCTGTCACAATCAGGTGCCATGGAACGGTTTGGGGGATTTCTGCACACGTAGCCTGCGATGTGTATGATCAGATCCCTCTGCAAATAATAATTCATGAGAGATGAATATAACCCTCCGATCTTCTGACATGGATCAATGATTGTAGACACTTGGGAGCCTCCAGCCTTCTCCTCTGCGGGGCTTGCTGATGAAATGACAGACTTTTCTTTCGAGGTTCAGGAAGGTGTCTAGATGGATGGGATCATTTTGTTGGCATCTCGTTGTCACTCCTGGTCTAGCATAGGAGTGTCCCTAGGGTTGGTGTCACCCCCCACACCCGCCTAGGGACACCACTGGTCTAGAAGCTTGGTCTGTCCTTTTCAGATGCTCATTGAAGAACAATGTCTATGACTGATTACTGTTAGGGGAATAATGTGTCTTTGATAGCACAGAATGAAGCGACATAATCATACTACTTTCATGGGTTATATCACATCTCTGCTATGGTCATGGCTCTACATTTACATTCATGTTACAATACCCATGACATTTATACGTGTTCCGGCTGTTTACATGGCAGAAAGCTCTGGATCATTGAGTACTTCATGGGGCTCTCCGACCCCAACCTCCTAGTATAACACCCAATTATAATCCAATCTAATCCTGAACTGAACAAATAAAATCCAAATCAAATTTACTTCACAACCCCCATCTTATCGATTATGCTGCGTAATAACGGGCTAACAAACTACATTTCCCAGAGGACCTAGCTAATGGGCGGAGTCAGATAACTACAGAAGTCCTGGAACCAGAGGACGGTGAGAGCTGGAGAGCAGGTGTGAGGGGAAAGCTGTGTGGGGAGGTCCAGGCTGGGCCAGACCCCAGACAGTGAAGGAGGACGCATGGCTGACCGCCGACACTGCTAACAAGCCAGGCTGATGATCCTGATGATGGACCGGAGCGCAGTCCAGAGTGATCTCTGAAGGAGGAACCACAAGGGAACGGGGCCCCCATCTACAGAGACCCCATCCGCCACGGATTGGGTGGGAGAATTCCATACGCAGGCCATCTAAGCTGCAAATGACATTACGAAATCCAGTTACATTCTACTTGTTATTACAGTTCCAGCATATCCAATCACAGGGATCTACTGCACTGTCTGCCCTCCGCAGGTCCAGCCGTATTATTGCTCCCTTTACAGTCCGCCACATTCACCAAAGTGCTCTTTCTTTGCTGTAATTTGCTACGACAGAAGTGTGTCCCTGCCCAATTTTAAATCCTGCCACATTTTGTACCTCACCCTGTTTGTGTGTCAAAAGGATAGCATTCAAACTCAATATAATTTAAGGGACAGCTCCCTACCTTTGTGTTAACCCTCTATTAAGGAATTTATACCTTTGCCTCAAGGCAGATTTGAATCCTTATGTGCACCAACTAGGGCCCCATCAAGCGAGCCAAATATTGACACTGCAGTTAAAGGGACATTGGCCTAATTAATCGAAGAGCTCATCTTTTTTTCAAAATTAGACTGAGCCATCAGCCACTGAGAGCCCAAAGTGAGTTAGCCTCTTTGCTTGGTTTTACTTACTGGGGAAGAAACATCTCAGGGCCGGGACTTATATTCTGAATTGCAGGGCCCCTAGAACTGACTGAGATTGTGCTGTGTGCTGTTATCTTAGCACGTATTTTCCTGCTCCTTTACTATGCTTACATTTGATCCCAATACATCCAGAATACCAGTTCACTCCAACCTGTGTGTGAGTCTATGTTCTGGCTGCAGCCAGAGGGTTCTTCTGGTCAGAGGTGGAAGCTGGTGTCAGCAGGGTTGGGCTTCCAGAGCGGGGTCAAGAAAGATAGGGAACCTGAAAATGACTCAGCGGCCCCTGAGGGGGTAGTGCTACATGTTGTTGGGAAATATGAGCTAGGGCTATTGATTCAGGTATACCATTTCTGTATTCATTTATGCTTGCATTGTGACAAGAGTTAGAGTGATGCTTTAAATAGATGAAAATTATTATGTCTTAAGTAAATGTTATAAGACATGCCAGCATTATTTTCGAGCTTATATGGAAAATTTTAAATGGTATATGTATGTCACAAGTACAACCACAAAGTAACACAAAGTTACAGGGTGGACGCCTAGACTGCAGGTGTCTGCAAAACATCGTACAAAACATAGATAGATGTTCAGATAAGAGATCTGGGAACACAGCCAAAAATGGCAGGATGTACTGACTGAGGTTAACATTTTAACAGTTTAAGAAAAGGTGACCTTGTCTAGTATCTGGGTAGAAGTTAAAGGTACGCTTTACTATTGGATAATTTAAGTTTGTCTTACTATTGGATAATTTGGGTTTGTGGTTTTTGCCTTTATAAGCTGTAATGTACGTAATAAACTTTGCAATCTTCCTGTATCCTACTTGAGTGTTGGGTTATGTTGATTGCCCGATCGCGATCGAGCCCGTGCCACACCCAGAGGCTGCGCAGCACAGAGATAATATAGAAATAAGAATATAAGGATTCCAGGAAAGGGGGAATTCCTAACAGCTGGTACCAGAAGTGGGGGTCCGCCGCTAATCCGGGTGAGTAATATCGTTTCAATATACCCTTGATATATTATGATATTTGCCTGCTCTGGATACGGTGACGTCTCACGTATAGTGAAACTGAAAGTAGTTTAGTGTTTTGTAAAGGAGGGGTTCTGTTCTCGCTCCTAGAATAGTGTAGTTTAGTGTTTTATGATGGAGGGGTTCTGTTCTCGCTCCTAGATAGTGTAGTTTAGTGTTTTATGATGGAGGGGTTTCTGTTCTCGCTCCTAGAATAGTGTAGTTTAGTGTTTTATGATGGAGGGGTTTCTGTTCTCGCTCCTAGAATAGTGTAGTTTAGTGTTTTATGATGGAGGGGTTCTGTTCTCGCTCCTAGAATAGTGTAGTTTAGTGTTTTATGATGGAGGGGTTCTGTTCTCGCTCCAATAGTGAAGTGTAGAGTTACATAAAGGCGGGGTTCTGTCTCGCGCCGTATATAAAGGTTTTTATTTTTAACTGCGGGAAGGGTCAGACTCGTTCTCTGCAGGTTTATCAGCTCTGTGACAGTTTAGACTGTACAGACTGTACAGGAAACATTGAGGGGTTCTGTTCTCGCTCAATAAAGAAAAAGACATAAAAGAGGCAGGGAAATTTAAAACGGGCTGAGCTAAGTTCCGTTTTTAGGGAAATGTTGAGGTGTGCCGGTGCTAATTGTATATAAAAGCAACGTTGTATTGTGGGATAATTGTTTGTTAAATGTTTGAAGTGTGAATGAAGCGTATTGCAAGGGTAACGCGTTACTGGTGTCCATATTGTCTGCAGTCTCATGATTTTTACTGATATATTGTATATAGAAGCTATATTAATTACCCCGTGTTATTGAATGTTGACTTCATTGTCTATGTGTATATTGATGAT